TTCACCCACATACTTGTACCCACGTGATGTCATCTCACCTAGCGAAATTAAATTAGCACCACATGTCGGCACATATCTCACATGATGAAGAATTCCGACCTTCCCAGTGTGAAGCTTGAGGCAAACACTTCCAACACCTTCAACCTTCATCTTCTCGTTGTTGGAGCCAACAATCACGTCGTCAAATTCTTCATCTATCTTCAATGTGTTAAAATAATTTTTGTTGTTGCAAACATGCATAGAGGCTGCAGAATCTAACACCCAAGTGTTACTCGCATAAATACTTGTACTCTGCATCAATAAAACGACATCTTCATCACACACAACCACTAAAGAGTCTGTCTTCTTCCCATTTTCTTAAAGCTTCATCTGTCTAATACTTTTCAAATCATCACGCATCTGGGAATATCTGAACAGAATGTGACCCTTCTCTCCGCAATAATAGCACTCTTTTTCACTGTCGTCTCGGGCCCAAGATTTTGACATTCCTCGATAACTATCACATCTCCCCGTACTCCTCCCTCGATTAGAACCTTCAAAAGCTAGTGCACTCTCACCATCATTAGATGCGCTCTCCTTTCCCATCATTCTTTCATTCTTACGTAGGAGTGCTGTCACATCGTCGAACTTCAAAGTCTGCTTCCCTGCAATTATCGTCTGAAGACTCTGAACTAACGGCTTGTACGACTTCGGCAAGGAAGACAATAGGAGTAGCGCATGCTCTTCTTCTTTAATCTCCTCATCAATATTCATAAGTTGGCAAACTAACTGATTAAAGGCATTGATGTGGTCTTGAATTGCAGTACCTTCTTTCATCTTTAACGAATAAAGCTCCATCCTCAAACATAATTGGTTGGTCATCGACTTCGACGCATAAATCCCCTCGAGCCTTTCCCACAGCCCCCTTGGTGTAGTCTCTTGCATAACATTGTACTTGATCTCGGGGGCGAGTGCCAAACGAATTGTGCTAACCGCCTTCTTTTACATGGAACTCCATTCAGCATCCTTCAATCCTTCAGGTTTCTTCTCTTCCAAAGCTTGATCAATACCCTGCTGCACAAGAATATCTTGAACCGTGCACTGCCATACTGCAAAATTTGTCTTGCCATTAAATAGCGAAATATCAAACTTCGGACCCGAAGAAGTCATCATCCTCTAACCACGATCAAAATTAAAATCAGTCCCTATAGTGATTGAATTTGATAAAACTGACGTAAAAAACAAACTCAGCACATCGAAAAACCTAGGAACGACTCCTGAATCACCGAAATCTGCCTCCAAATCCTCGATCAAAAGACAAAGCAACCTTAACCGTCGGATCCATTGCCGCTACAGTACCGCCGATACAGTATCGTGAACAATGCGTCACCATGAACAGTTCCTCCGTTACAGTACCGTGGTGAACAGTGCTGCTACTACAGTTTCGTTGCCACCAATGTCTTTGCAAATCTCGAATCTCCACGAATCGTCGAACCCCGCTCTGATACCACTTGTAGGAATTTTTAGATCTCGTAAAAACCCCCAAAAAACCACCAAACGCAGCAAATAAAATCACACAAGATTTAACGTGGAAAACCCTCAACAGGAAAAAACCACGGGATCAAAATCAATCCACTATCACCTCCAAATTATAATCTTTTGCACGGATAAAGACTGCCAAACCCTCTCTCTCTCTACACTTCTTTTTTTCTTTTCATGGTTTTTCCTCCACCAATAGAAGAATATATATAGGGAAACCAAAACCCTATCTCTAGCCTAACTTCCTAATTAGAATAAGATTCAAACCCCCAATCATGATGGAACTCAAACTCCTAATGATGATAGAACTCAAACTCCTAATCTAATTCTCATGAAGTTACACAAAGAATCAAAGACAAAATCCCAACAGTTCTCCCTCTCAATATGCTCAATACAATCTCAAATCTCTGATTAACAAAACCCTAAAATTGTGTTTCAATATATATCAAAACACAAACTAGATCAGAACAGAAAATAAAGCCCAGGCCCACACCCGACTGGCGGTCGACCGCGCCAAAGCTCGTGGTCAACCAGACAGAATGATAAAATCCAGAAAACCATTACAGGGTTTGGCGGTCGACCGGACCTAACCTCGCGGTCAATGGACCAGAACTCCAGAAACTGTCCTGTACTCGTGCAAGTTTGACGGTCGACCGCGCCAAAGCTCGCGGTCGACCGACAAGCACCCAAATACCTTTCCGCTTCAAATTTCCTGAGCTTTACCAATATTTTCACCATTTACGGATTATGCATTGAATAGATAGATGAGACAGTAATCTGCAAGTTACGCAAAAAAAATTATACAATTTTTACATTTTTAAAAATTTCAATTGCTTTGCTATAGTTTCTCACGGTAAATATGATAGAGGGTTACTCTCATGCAGGGGAATTAATATGCATCATGATTAAATGTCACTATTTCCAATATTAGAAATTTATATTAGGCCTCTTATAAACATAAAGTATCAATTTTATGTTCAAAATGGTTTAAATAATTAAAAATTAAAGAATTTGAATAATTAATAAAGAAGAATATTTTCCAGAGTAGGTTTAGTTTCAAGAAAATTTATGTTCCCCTAAATCTCATAAAATTTATTTTGAAGTCCGAAACTCGATCAAAAGACAAAGCAACCTTAACCGTCGGATCCATTGCCGCTACAGTACCGCCGATACAGTATCGTGAACAATGCGTCACCATGAACAGTTCCTCCGTTACAGTACCGTGGTGAACAGTGCTGCTACTACAGTTTCGTTGCCACCAATGTCTTTGCAAATCTCGAATCTCCACGAATCGTCGAACCCCGCTCTGATACCACTTGTAGGAATTTTTAGATCTCGTAAAAACCCCCAAAAAACCACCAAACGCAGCAAATAAAATCACACAAGATTTAACGTGGAAAACCCTCAACAGGAAAAAACCACGGGATCAAAATCAATCCACTATCACCTCCAAATTATAATCTTTTGCACGGATAAAGACTGCCAAACCCTCTCTCTCTCTACACTTCTTTTTTTCTTTTCATGGTTTTTCCTCCACCAATAGAAGAATATATATAGGGAAACCAAAACCCTATCTCTAGCCTAACTTCCTAATTAGAATAAGATTCAAACCCCCAATCATGATGGAACTCAAACTCCTAATGATGATAGAACTCAAACTCCTAATCTAATTCTCATGAAGTTACACAAAGAATCAAAGACAAAATCCCAACAGTTCTCCCTCTCAATATGCTCAATACAATCTCAAATCTCTGATTAACAAAACCCTAAAATTGTGTTTCAATATATATCAAAACACAAACTAGATCAGAACAGAAAATAAAGCCCAGGCCCACACCCGACTGGCGGTCGACCGCGCCAAAGCTCGTGGTCAACCAGACAGAATGATAAAATCCAGAAAACCATTACAGGGTTTGGCGGTCGACCGGACCTAACCTCGCGGTCAATGGACCAGAACTCCAGAAACTGTCCTGTACTCGTGCAAGTTTGACGGTCGACCGCGCCAAAGCTCGCGGTCGACCGACAAGCACCCAAATACCTTTCCGCTTCAAATTTCCTGAGCTTTACCAATATTTTCACCATTTACGGATTATGCATTGAATAGATAGATGAGACAGTAATCTGCAAGTTACGCAAAAAAAATTATACAATTTTTACATTTTTAAAAATTTCAATTGCTTTGCTATAGTTTCTCACGGTAAATATGATAGAGGGTTACTCTCATGCAGGGGAATTAATATGCATCATGATTAAATGTCACTATTTCCAATATTAGAAATTTATATTAGGCCTCTTATAAACATAAAGTATCAATTTTATGTTCAAAATGGTTTAAATAATTAAAAATTAAAGAATTTGAATAATTAATAAAGAAGAATATTTTCCAGAGTAGGTTTAGTTTCAAGAAAATTTATGTTCCCCTAAATCTCATAAAATTTATTTTGAAGTCCGAAAAATAAAGTTTTACACAAAAAAATAATTCTCAAGAAATTTATCAGTTACAGGAAAAAATAATATTTCTTCCAAATAAAAATTAAGAATATTAGTGTTAGCGAATTACTCTTCAACCCTTGGTTTCCAACTGTTTTATCTTTAGGGGCTGTTTGTTTGGTTTCCTAAAAACCAAGAAAACCAAGAAATGGAAATGGAAAACATGAAAATCTCAAAAAATACTATTTCCTCCATTTCCATCCCTAAAACTCACCCACAACATCCAATAAAATATTATTTTCATCCAACAACTCATCCACATCATCTAATAAAATATTATTTCCATCTAACCACTCATCCACCACATCTAATAAAATATTATTTTCATCTAACAACTCATCCACCACATATAATAAAATATTATTTTCATCCAAACATCACTCAACTCATCTCTTTTTATCATTTCAAATCACTCACATCATCCAATAAAATATTATAACAATTCACCTCATCTCATTAACATTTCATTTCTCCATTTTCATCCCAAAAAGTTGTGAAAACACTTTTCTTAATCTTTCTTCACATCACCCAATAATACAATGACAACTCACCTCATCTCATTTCATTTCTTATTTTTAAGAATGAACCAAACAAAAGAAAACAACAAAACTACAGGAAATAAGTTTCTTATAATTTATTTCCTTATTTTTTTCGCCAACCAAACAACATCAAAACTAATTTTCTTAAAAAATCACTCACATCATCCAATAATAATTTGACAACTAACATTATTTCATCTCCATTTTTTTGATTTCCTTCTTTTTTTAGCCAACCAAACACTCTCAAACCAATTCTTCATTTTAATAGTTTTCCATTTCTTTGATTTCCCTCTTTTTTTAGTAAAACAAACAGCCCCTTAGTCCAACATATTATAATTCAAGGAAAAAAATAACATGAAAATGCGTACACGTGCCTCACACGTGCACCACAGTGGTGATCTTAAAATGGGTTCACCGTCTATTTATCAGCTGCCATCTCCCCCTTCACCCAACTAACCTCCACAATAAATAAAAAAACAATAAAAAAGTTATTTACTAAATAGTCAAAGAGTTTGGTCTCTGGGTCTCATTTCTTTTCCTTACCGTTTTTGCTAATTCTTGGGGGAAAGGGGCTGCTCGATTGCAGGTCAGATGGGCTCTTGACTTCCTGCTGTGTTCTTGTGAAATTTTGGGTAAAGAGCAGGAATTTGTGGGTTTTTGATTGATAATTGATATGGGTTTTTTTTTTTTTGAGTTCTTTTGGTGATTTGGGGGGTATTGGGTTGAGATGTATCAATTTTGTCCTCTACTGTCAATTGTAGTTTCTAACTTTTGGAGAATTCTCACATCATTTAGCTTATGTTTCCATGCACCTATCATGTTGATGTCTTGATTATTTGAATTATAATTCATCTTTAAGTGCTACTTCGAGTTGTATTATGTCAGCAATGAATGAATCCATGGACTATTTCTTATTTGATTCTTTTTTTTTTTGCCCCCATAATTTTTAGTTTTTACTAAACTGTTATTAATTTACCTTGTGTTTATCACTCTCAAGTTTCATCATACATTCTTATAATTGTGTCTTCTTCTTTGTGTTCTTTGATCTTTATTATATGATGGCCTTGTGTTCTTTGATCTTTATTATATGATGGCCTTATTTCATGTCATATTAGCAAATAAAAAGCTTTAATACACTTAGGGGCTGTTTGGTTCGTTTCCATAAAATAATGGAAATGTATTCCAAGGCAAATAACCATTTCTAAAAAATTTTGTGAATCTCAAAGGAATCCATAACTTGTGTTTGATATGGAATGATGAAGTGAAGAATAGGAAAGCATATCTAAAACTCATGTTTGTTTTATTGCCAAATAATTTAGGGAGTTGTGAGAGTAAATGATGAGTTGTCAGATTTCTAGCCCATTTCCGAGCTTAAAAAGAGGATTTGAGCTTTCCATAAAGTAGGCTGCCATGTCAGAGAAATGTATTCTTAAAAAAAAGTTGAAATAAATGGCAGTTTTGAAATCCTATAATGTCAAAAAACCTACTTTTTGTTCCAAAACTGCATGATTCCTAAAAATTTGGCCGAACCAAACAGCCCCTTACCCAAAATAAAGGTTTCCTCTGAATTTTGTCTGCATATTGTGCTTGTGACTTGGGTATGGTAATTGATTGGCGTGGATCAGCTGTTGTACTGTGCTTTTTAAACATTAAGTTGATGAGATTTTCACTTGTAACATAGTCTCTTGCATCTGTAATCAGGTACTTTGATTCTTGTATCTTGCTATTCCTTGAGGTGCATAAGTACTGTAATGCACTGCTGTTGAAAAACTTAAATTATGCTGACACCGAAAGTTTTGCCTGCTTGTCAATGGTGGACTACTTGCTTATCAAATGCAGTTAAAAGATCCCTCTTGAACTTCAATTTCCAGATGTCGAGCTTAGAGGAGCCTCTAGGTCTCGACAATTTTCCAAGCTTAAGTGGGGTATGTTGGATCCAGAGGTTTAGTCCTAACGCTTGGAGCCCCAGAGAATATGAAACTGAAATGGGTAATTGTTTGATTGAAGGTAGACAATGCAGCTCTTCAAATAGTTGCTCGTAAGTTTCACTTTCTTCTTCCAGAATTTTTCCAATTGTAAACTGATAGATTATTTGCCAATTAGGCAGTTGATGTTGAATGTTAGCTCAATATAATTTGTTTATATTTGCATGACCATTGCTGTGTAGATTTACATAAACCAAGATCCTGAAATTTGTCTTCATAACTCTGAAAGGTGCTTTCTTCAATTTCTCAATCTTAGGTTTAGAAGATTCCAAATGTATCTCCTTATGAACACCATCAATTGGATAGTTTTTTCCAGTTAGTTAATTTTCTCAACTGCAAGGTTTACCAAAAGATCAGAACAATTGGTGTGGTTTGAATTTATATTAGCACTATGACTAAAAGAACTAAGCCCTCGTTGAAGTTTCTTCTCTTGATAGAGATAAAGGAATAATTGTTCTTAAACTAAATTCAAGATTCATATTGCATGTGCTTATCCTTCATTACTTTTTGAGAATTAGATGTTTATCTTTTCATCACTCTTTTAGTACCACAGGTTATTTTCTTTCTTAGGCATTATTTTACCATTCATTCTATTGCGGTATTTGAAATGTACTTATCGAGCCTAATTTGCTTCTCTTCTCAGTGAAGAATATACATGGGGAAGGAAAACAAAGGATATGTACTGCTCAGACTCTTTACTTTGGAGGAGATCAAGCCTTTGTAGGAGTCGAATGGTCTTTGATAATGTTTCTGATTCATGGTATTTACAAGGTCATCAAACTCGTCACTACCACTCATCAAGCAATGGCAGGGAGAGTGATCTAACAAATAAGGTGCTTGTGATGATGTAGAAAAAAAATTCCTTAGCCTAAAGTATTTTAATCTTTTCTATCAATGTCTCATCTATAATTCTATTGCTTCTGTCCTGATTTAGTTGACCTATTAATTTTATTCATTTTCTTGATCGAGCGCTTCATAATTATTTTGGAATCTGTTCTTCTGCCAAATAAGACCAAGGGAATTCTCCTCTTTTTACCATCTCCTTAATGCACTGTATGTTATGATTGTATGATAATATCTTATTAACAGCTTTAAAGTTGTCTCTTACTTTTTAAGCACTAATTAAGTTGTTCTAGATTTTCTCTTTAACTTTGTCTAAGTACTTGATTCTGCATGAGATGTTTCAAACTTGCAGTTCTTGAGGGTTATGCCAAAATTTGTAAAGATAGTCGAAGTTGGACCAAGAGATGGATTACAAAATGAAAAGAATACTATACCCACAGCTGTAAAAATTGAACTAATACAGAGGTTGGCCTCTTCCGGATTATCTATTATTGAGGCCACCAGTTTCGTCTCTTCGAAATGGGTACCACAGGTAATATTATCATACAATCTTTTTTCTATTTAAAAAGGGTGCAATTTTTTTTATTTTATTTCGTTGTTCTCTCTTATATAATAATTCAATTAAGTACAATACGATGTTTTAGTGTGATAGCTCATAAAGCAGCAAAGAGTCCTCTTCTCTACTCATGCTTTCAACTATTGAATCATTCACTTATGTGCTTGTTTTCCCCCCCTACTCTTTGCAAAGTTGACATTGTTCTCTGAAGCTTATCCGTCTCCATATATTTGTATTATTGCCTTACTTCATTGTCTACAATCTTTCTGTATACTTATCCCTTGATATATAATTTTCTCCATTAGACTTCTTAGTTTCGAGTGCATTTCCAGCTGTTTGTTTTTGTTCTGATATCTTGATGTGCCAACTACAGTTGGCAGATGGAAAGGATGTGATGGAAGGAATTAAACATATTGAGGGTGTGATGTTCCCTGTGCTAACCCCAAATCTCAGAGTAAGCTAAATTATCTAACTGAACTCAAGAGCTTGTTTATACACTTCAGTACAAAATGGGTATTTATGAGTCATTTTCTCCAGGGATTTGAGGCTGCTATTGCAGCTGGAGCAAAGGAAGTCGCAGTATTTGCATCAGCTTCTGAAGCTTTTTCTAAATCAAACATCAATTGTAGCATTAAAGAAAGCCTTGCCCGTTATCTTGATGTCACTCTTGCTGCAAAGAAATTAGCCATACCTGTAAGAGGGTAAGTTCTGAGTGTTATCTACTATCTCTAGGCATTTCTTGAGTACCTTTTATCCAATTAAATATGATGATAATAGTTCAGAGGTGTCTGATTTGGGTTAAAGTCTTGTCAATATTTTTTTTACTCTCGTTAGTTGTAAGATGTTCTTGTCTTACCTATTCCAAATTGCTAATGACCCGAAGTCATCTATTGATGTTATTGATCTACTTAATGGGAATTTTAACCCATACCTATAAATTGAATTACAATAATGCTCATTTACCTCAACTTAGACATTGTAATCTGGCAATGTGCTTGATATCAAGTGTTCATAGCAAAATTTATTTAAAAGCTTGAGTAACAAGATAACAATGCACATCAGTTCAATTTAACCATCGCCATACTTAAATGGAGCAGATAGGTCTTAACAAAATGGAATGAAAGAATATGATTCCTGTACCTAACACCAAAAGTTTGGGTAAAGGCTTTGTTGTCATCTGAAGTTTTGTCTGTGTATGTCTGAAGTTTATGTCTTAGAATTTTTGTACAGAGACTCGATTTCTGATGCATTGATTGAATTTATTATCTTCTTAAATTGTCCAATATATTCTGCAATGCTACAAAATCTTTTTTGCAAAGTTGTCGGTTCCTTAATCCTTATGCATTTCCTTCTTAGGTTTACATTCTCAAGATTATGAAATACTTGAACAATTTGCTGATTCTATAGGTATGTATCATGTGTTCTGGGGTGTCCAATAGAAGGCGAGGTGCCTCCATCAAAGGTTGCTTATGTGGCAAAGGAACTTTATGACATGGGATGCTCTGAAATCTCGCTTTGTGATACTATAGGAGTTGGTAGTCCAGGTTAGATTCATGCCAAACAAACTTTTATACTATTTCAATTTTTTGCAAATAGGACCAGAATATGCTAAACTATCACAATTTTTTTTAATTAATAGAACCTGATGGCTTATCGAGGATGATGTTATTGCTGCTTAGACATAAATGCCATCACATCTGTCTTACCTCTATTTAGGACAATTTTTTAAAAGAAAACTAACTCTTAAATTAATTATAAAATTCGTCCACTTAACATTTACTTACAATCATATACTTCTTTTAAAAGCACGAGTTTGGGAAAATCTTTCGATAGACAAAAATACCCTTGAAATTCAAATACTAATTCATTAAGTAAGAGTAAGTTGATAAATTGATGAATTCTTATTGGATATACATAGTATGAAGATAAGCATATAGTTTAAATTGAAATTTAAACCTGAATAAAATTATTAAATGTCAAATTCACAAATGTTTACAAGATGAAGGGCGTATATGCATAAACCAAACAATTTAACGAGGCAAAATAATGTCTACTCTAAAGATTGAACCCAGGAACAGTGCAGACCTACAAATGTACATATTGTGGACATGGTATCTGCAAAATCCACCAAACAAATTAAAGAGACAAAATCATTCCCAAAAATAAAAAACAAAAATTAAAACAAACGGCTGTAATCTGAGGACACAATGTGACGATCTCTCACCGACTAAAATTCAAGTAGTTCACGGTAGTGCATAATTAGTTTCAAAGTTTAATTATACTATTATTATTTAAATAGTTATTTTCTTCTTATTAGATTAGATTAGATTATCTTAATTAATTATATTTTATATTTATTCATTTTTATATTAAGAAATAGCAATAATTTTCACAGCACTTTCATATCTATTTTCTTCTTATTAGATTAGATTATATTATTTTAAAACAATTAATTATATTGTACGTTTGATCTTTTTTTTAGATCAAGAAATTATGACAATTTTCGCATCACTTTCATCTCCTTCAACATGTATGTGTCTTTGTTATTTTCTTCTTATTAGATTAGATTAGATTATCCTACTTTAACCGGATTAGATAATTTAAAATTTTTTCTTTACACCCAAACTCTTTCAGAAAAACCAAAAGAGAGTAGTAATACTATAGCTATATATATATTCACAGGACCACAGATTTATTGAAAATGAACGAAGAAAATCACACAAACAAAAACCTTATTAATTACCCACACACACCTACTGTTTTCAAAACCACTCTTCTCCATCTCCATCTATAATATATCCACATACCCAAATTAAGCTGCTAGAGTTTCTCCTCACCAACTATACCATTGATCAACTCTTCTTTTTTCCTTCTACTTAATTTGTATAATATTCATTGCGATGAAGACTCACTTGGGTTCTCTGCCTGCCTTGAACGTCTAATACAAAAATGTACTATACTTTGTAGTTAGTTAATACTAAGATCCTATTATTATAAATAAATTAAATAAAGATTAATAATTCTTAAGAATATACTACGTTCCACTAGCTTCCACTGCAAACTTGTTAGTTATTTATTCCTGGCCCCAAGAGATTTTTAAAATTAATCTTGAGGGTTGTTTACACTAAAAGAGTTATGTTAGAGCGCTCATACAGTCTATTTTATTGTTTAAAATTATCAACACGTTTTGTCTCTGATACATATCAATTATGAGTAATAATATAATTTGATTGATCCAAGTATATCCTAATATATTTCTAGACTCTTATCATATCTTTTACTCTTTATTATGTACTGGCCTGATATCACAATTGATTGAGACGATGAAGACATTACTGTAGAATTGTCTGGGATAAAGATAAAGGTGGAGAAGGATTGATCTCGGTTCAAGTAAATATGAAACATGAAGGAATAAAAGATATATTTTTTTGAATATTTTATAGTAAAGCTTAATTTTTTGATTAAAATTAGGAATTTTAGAAGGATTTTTCACGCAAATTTTTTAATATGCTTATGTGAATGCTTTTGTCATATAAAATTATACTAGAATTATCATTAATCTTTAGTATTTTTCACGCAAATCTATCAATAATTAAGATATCTTGCAGTATTGTGAAAAGTATGTACTCTGTGCTGAGCTTATACTAACCATCTTAATATTAAGTATATTTATTAACACATCAACAATATATAATTGTATTTTTTTCAAACTTAACACTATATTTTATGACTAAAATAAACAAATTGGAGATCGATAATTTGATCCAATAAACAAATATGTTACATGAAGTTTGATATATACAAATTTAAAAAAATTAATGTTGTGTATGCAAGTATATGAAAGTATATTGATCCCAGTTTAACACACAAATCTATTTCATAATTTTTTTTAAAATATTTAAATAAAATTTATGACAAATGTAATAATCCATGTTATAGATTTTAAATCAAAATGAATCTGAAAATGTAATAATCCATGTTATAGATTTTAAATCAAAATGAATCTGACTTATTTTATAGTAAGAAAATAAATAAAAAATAAATAATTTTGATATTTATTAAATCAAAATGAATCTGACTTATTTTATAGTAAGAAAATAAATAAAAAATAAATAATTTTGATATTTAAGCACATGCATTGCACGTGAACAAAAACTAGTTTTTAAAAACATTTGACATTGTTAAGTACGCAAGACTGAAAGTCCTGGTACTTTACAAGGCGGATTTGTTACCGGGTACTGCCACTCCCGGGCATTTATATATACCAGGATTTTAAAAAGCGAACAACCTTTAGAAAGTTGGTATATGTTTATTATAGAATGTTAACTTGGTTGTTTTTTACAATAAAATATTAAGATTGTTTTTTTTAAAAACTCAATTCTCCATTTATAATGCCACCAACAACTAAGTTATTTAGAAAATTAAATTTCCCAAAACCTTTGCACTCTCACTGTCTCTGCATTTTTTTTGGGCATAAGCTGAAAACAACTTTTGCTGACACAATGTACTTTCTTTCTTGCTGCTTTGCATGGCGTAGGAGCTGTCATTCCAATGCTTGAAGCTGTCATGTCGGTCGTTCCAACTGAGAAATTGGCTGTTCATTTCCACGACACCTATGGTCAGTCTCTGGCCAATATTTTGATCTCCCTTCAGGTAAGGAACATGCTTCAAGCTCAATTAAGAATACGATAAATTTTGTAACCTACCATGAACATTTCCACTAAATATCATACATAGGTGTTGCTGGAGAAAGGTATCACGTGCGAAGCATGCGACTTTTTTGGACTTTTTACCCTAAATTTTGATTACTCCCTTATCTACATCCCTTCTTCCCAAATCTTGAGTAGACGTGTTTTAATCTTTTTATCCATGTATGCTGCAAACACCGTTACAAGTTTTTTTCTTTTTTAAAAATTCGTGGTATTTTTTTTGCTAATGAAAACAGCGTAGCATAAGGGGGGTGATGTAGGACGTTTAATCGAAAATTTAATGGATGATTCGGACATTCACGAGCAAAATACAGATTTATACTTCCGCAAAGAAACAACCATATCTTTCAATCAGGAAGGCGGATTCTGACATATTATATGTGTAAATCGCCTATCTCGACGAGTAGGAGCCAACCAGATTGTTAGATTTTTACAATCTCATCAGTTATACCCAGATTTGGCTGAAATCCGAAAATAATCAGCCTTTAGTTTATTTTTAGTAATAAAGTTGGAGTCTGTTTTTGTTTAGGAAATAAATCCGATTTGATCTCAGATTTGACCGGTGGACTTTCCTAATCATAAGGAGTCTTTTTAGGAGTTTTAATATTTTAGGAATTTTTACTATTTTTGGTTAGTTTAGAGTCCTTGTAGGAATTAGAGAGAGTCCTTGTAGGAGTCTTGTTTTTTTTTCTATTTAAGAAGAGTCTTGTAAGCCCTAGAGGCATATCTTTTGATTAATAAAATTTTGTTTTTTCCTCAATATTTCTTCGTGGATTCGAAGCTCTTCGTGGATTCGAAGATCGTTCTTTGTGGATTCAGAGAACACCCTTGGTGGATTCCGAGGTTACAACTTCCGCGCTGCGTCAATTGGTATCAGAGCCTTGTTCCTCCGATCCGATGGCAGGTGATGAAGCCCCTATTTCTCGAACTGAGTTCGACGTGCTGAAGATCGGTGTTAATCAGATGAAGACTGCCGTAGATCGACTTGCGTCGGCAGTGGAGCGTCTGAACACGGTAGGAGTTCAAAATCGCGTTGATGGTCGCCAACGACGTGATCCGACTCCATATGATAAATTCAACAGGGACAATGATCTTAAGCAAGACATTAGAGTTGAGAAGAATAGTAAAGAAGCAATAAAGAAAGAAGAACCATCTCCGGAGCAAAATATCTTTCGCACGAGATGCACCGTGATGCAGAAGATTTGTAATGTTATAATTGATCATCACAGCAGCAAGAATCTTGTCTCTCGGCGTATGGTGGAGAAGTTAGGACTGAAGATAGAGAAACACCCACCTCTCTATATGATCGATTGGATTAGCATGGACAATGTTGTGCAGAACGATGAGAAGTGTCGGGTACGTTTTTCCATTGGCCGAACTTATATTGATGAGGTTTTGTGCGAAGTGGTCGAGATGGATACTTGTCATATGATTTTAGGTAGGCCATGACAATTCAATAATGGAGCTACCCATAGGAGTAGAGATAATGTTTATATCTTCAAGAAAGATGGACGACGAATTGTGCTCAAGCCTCTTACAGAAAAGGAGCCATCTAAGATAAAGACTATTGAGAAGAAGGAACTCTTGGTGACAAACAACTGCTTGGTGGAGGGCTAGAGACAAAGGAGATGAAAGAATTGTGTATGGAGTATGACGCGGGATTCTCTTCTCTGGAAGCAAAGATTGTTAATAATTTCAAGGTGATGATACTTTCAGCACTAGAATATGAGAAGCAACATGGAACATATTTTGAGGAGTTTTTCAAGTCAATTGCAGATCCACATGCTGTCAGACACATACACATGGTGTGTGAAAGATTTATTCGAGAATTTGAGTCAGAAGAGGTCCTAGCTGAAGAGGTAAAACAACAGATGGAGAAAATCAATGCTAGGTACAAGGCAGATGCTGATCGATGCAGGTTAAGAAAGATATTTATCGATGAAGCTACTATTCAAGCAAATATAAGTTCGAGGATGAGCTTCTTTCAACAAGGGGAGACTGATGTAGGACGTTTAATCGAAAATTTAATGGATGATTCGGACATTCACGAGCAAAATACAGATTTATACTTCCGCAAAGAAACAACCATATCTTTCAATCAGGAAGGCGGATTCTGACATATTATATGTGTAAATCGCCTATCTCGACGAGACGGAGCCAACCAGATTGTCAGATTTTTACAATCTCATCAGTTATACCCAGATTTGGCTGAAATCCGAAAATAATCAGCCTTTAGTTTATTTTTAGTAATAAAGTTGGAGTCTGTTTTTGTTTAGGAAATAAATCCGATTTGATCTCAGATTTGACCGGTGGACTTTCCTAATCATAAGGAGTCTTTTTAGGAGTTTTAATATTTTAGGAATTTTTACTATTTTTGGTTAGTTTAGAGTCCTTGTAGGAATTAGAGAGAGTCCTTGTAGGAATTTGAGTCCTTGTAGGAGTCTTGTTTCTTTTTCTATTTAAGAAGAGTCTTGTAAGCCCTAGAGGCATATCTTTTGATTAATAAAATTTTGTTTTTTCCTCAATATTTTTTCGTGGATTCGAAGCTCTTCGTGGATTCGAAGATCGTTCTTTGTGGATTCAGAGAACACCCTTGGTGGATTCCGAGGTTACAACTTCCGCGCTGCGTCAATTTCAACAACAATGAGATGATACCGCCGACACTAGAATATAGGAAGCAACAGGGAATATATTTAGAAGAGTTTTTCATGCCAACTACAGAGCCACATGTTGCCAATTACATACACATGTCATGGGAAAGATTCATACATGAGTTTTATACAGAAGAAGCCCTAGCAGAGGAGACAAAACAACATATGGAGAAAATCAACGCTAAATATAAGGCAGATGCAGATCATTGCAAGAGAAGAAAATTATTTATCAATGAAGCTACTATTCTAACAAATAAAAGCTCGAGGTCGAGCTTCTTTCAACAAGGGGAGACTGATGTAGGACGCTTAATCTGAGTTGGAGTCTATTTAGATTAGGAAATATAGATTAGAAAATATATTCAATTTTAGAGTCAAATTAGATTAGGAAACAAAATTAATTTTGATTCATGATTTGTTTCCTCTATTCATAAGGAGTCTTTTTAGGAGTTTTAATGTTTTAGGAATTCTTTACCATTTTTGGTAAGTTGAGAGTCATTGTAGGAATTAGAGTCCTTGTAGGAGTCTTGTTTCTTTTTCTATTTAAGAAGAGTCTTGTAAGCCCTAGAGGCATAACTTTTGATTAATAAAATTTCGTTTTTCCTCAATATTTCTTCGTGGATTCGAAGATCGTTCTTTGTGGATTCCGAGGTTACAACTTCCGCGTTGCGTGGTTACAACTTCCGCGCTGCGTCAATTGGTATCAGAGCCTTGTTCCTCCGATCCGATNGTTTTATGCGGTCCTCATCTAATCATCTCTCGCCTCTCATGTCAAAAGATGGGGATCACCACTGTGGATGCATCGGTCTCTGGCCTTGGGGGCTGCCCCTACGCCAAGGGCGCTTCCGGAAATGTTGCCACTGAGGACGTCGTCTACATGCTCCAAGGTCTCGGCATAAAGACCAACGTTGATCTTCGCGAGCTTATTGCCGCTGGTGATTTCATCAGTAAGCATTTGGGTCGCCAGTCCGGCTCTAAAGCTGCCATTGCTTTGAGCAGAATTGCTGATTCCTCCAAAATAATTTAATTTGATGATAAGTTGTATGTTGGATGATGAGAATTGAGATGGGTGATTATAAGTAATGTTTACGTGATGTATGATGCATGGAGTAAAGTTTTAATGCGACTTGAGATATCATTGTATACGTATAATATTCAGAATTCTTGTATTGGAGCTATAACAAGTGTAACTTAAAACTTGATATTGTAGTGGGAAAGTTTAGTCCCACATAGGAAATGGAATAGGAGGAATGATGCTTATAAGCCTTTCCCTTCTCTCTTATGCCTAGAAAAAAATAAAGGTTATGCTCTACACCACACGCGCGTGCCGACCGGGTTCGGGTTCGGGTCGGGTGGCGCGCGCGCACGACCTGCGGACACGAATGCAGCTTCGGATTGAGGGGCTCTTAACCTGCTACATTTAACGTGTTAAGCAATTAAAACGAGCTAAGCAATTAAAATGTGTTAATCATTTGGCTGGGAAAATGAAAACGGCTAGCTAAATAAATGAGCGGGATTTATGGACTTAAATAACGAAACGGCTAGCGGGATTTGTGCGATAACGGACATGACTCTCAACCTATATAAAGACCGGTATATGCGAGGGTTAAACACAGTGAAAACACAACAAGCTCTTCTTCTTCTATGCTTTGTTCTTCTTCTTACGTTTACTTGCTGTTACATTTTATTGTTTCCCTGAAAGTCGAGAAGAATTCGCAAAGCCTTCTTGAAGCTCGTGCCGACGAGAAGAATGTCGCCTGACCGAGGGTCGTTGTATCTTCGAGAACTTTTACCGTGTAGCCCTGTACGATAGGGGACAATTAGATTCTTGGGACAGTGCCTTGCACGCCTCGACCATCAGACCGTATTTCTAACTTTCATTTATTTTCGTTTGATTCAATTTCATTTCTGAGTTACAATAGTGATCTGATATCTAACTTTCATTTATTTTCGTTTGATTCAATTTCATTTCTGAGTTACAATAGTGATCTGATATTATCTGATTTAATAATCAACTATTTAAATTTCTGAGTTACAATAGTGATCTGATATTATCTGATTTAATAATCAACTATTTAAAATTCACGTTAATTTTTGTCTAAACAGCTAATATTCCCAACATCCTTTACAATCTACATACCTGTCATACGTAGGAAAACGCTAAATTATATTCAATACAGTTGTTTACGATACCATATAATGCTAGGCATGTAACAAAAAAAAAAAATTTAAGCATACGATCAGATATAATAATACAATCTTCTTTTTATTATAGTTTTATTTAGAATTTACAAAAGGGCTTAATTGCACTTAAATACCCTATAGTTGCTCCTACGTTGTGCGTAGATATCCTCACTTATTTTTAGCAGCACTTATATATCCTAAAGTTTTAATAAATTGCACTTATATACCCTTACTGTTTTTTAGTAGCACGTATATACCCTAAAGTTTTTAAAACTTGCCCTTAAATACCTTAAAGTCTTTAAAATTTGCACTTGAATACCTGCAATTATGCAAATTTGAGGGTATTTATATTTAAGCGCAAGTTTTTAGAACTTTAGAGTATTTAAGTGTAAGTTTTAAGAACCTTTGGTATCGTTTGGCAAAGGGTTAAGTGAGGGGTTAAGGAGACTTAACCCCTTTTTAACCCGCCAAACACAAAAAATCTATACAAGGGTTAAACTGAGTTAACCCTCAATAATTTGTTAAATATAAAAAATATAGAAGGGTTAAGCTAACCCCACTAAAGGGATTAAAATTAGTTAACCCCTCAAAATGAGGGATTTACTAATACTCTTATTTAAAAAGATTAAGAGTTAATCCTTCTAATTATAAAGAAAATAGTCAAAATCATTGTTATTCCCAAACACTAAAACTGATCACAGTGGCTAAAATAAAATTTATTTAACGGGTTAATAATTTAGTCATTCAGATTATCGAATGAGCTAAATATAATAATCATTCTCTCTAACCCCCTTCCTTAACCGTTTCCCAAACGGGGCCTTATGATATTTAAATGTTTTAAAAACTATAGGCTAGTGAGCGTATGCAAGTACAAAGCAGGGGAAACTATAGGGTATTTCAGTGCGGTTAAAACTTTTACAAAGGAGCCCAGATATATTTCAAGGACCCACCAAGCCCAACAAGACCCAATTCCAGAATCTTCCCGAACCTCAAACCCAAACTTCTAAACCAAACGAGGAACGACGATTCCAGGGGCATATAAGTAATATCACAGACCTAATACAGGGACCCCCAAACCCTTGTTAAGCCCTAGAAGCCCCCCCTCCCCTCTCTCCTTCGCTGAGATCAAAACCCGCGTCGATCTAGTTCGCTCTTTCGTCAGTCTCTCTTAATTCAAATGGCGAAGCGTCTGATTCCTGCGCTCAACAGGATTTTGGTGGAGAAGATCGCGCCCCCTTCAAAGACCTCAGCTGGGATCTTGCTTCCCGAGAAAACCGCCAAGGTACCGTCTTTAAATTCCGTGCCTTTTGCCAAATTTTGCTGTTTTCCCCCGATTTTGCTGATGGGTCTTGCTCCAAAATCGAAACTTTGACATGGGTCACTCTTCTTTTTTCTGTTAATTGTTATTTTCGCTTTTTTTTTACTTACTTATGTGCTTATTTGCATTGTTTGTTAATCGAATGGTTGCTAATTGGGGAGTTTGCATGTGTCTAGATGATTATGCAGTTTTTATGTATATGTTGTTGTATACATGATGCAAAACGAAATGTATTAGAAATTCATTTGTTAGAAATACGAAACAAAATTATGCAGCATTGTCAATCTATATAAATGTATTGTATCTACTGCTATTATGTTGAATATGGAGTTAAAAGAACACTTGACAAAGAGACCTTTCATATCTCGGAACCGGGACAGGCTAAGACAATGTAAATCCATGAGATGTTGTTATCATAACTGAAAAGAGTTTAAATAATGGAATGGTCTGTAAAACAATTAATTTTGTAAGTGTGTGGCACATTATATTACACTGTTATAAATAGCGATAAATAGCCCCGCAATAGCGGCGCTAATAGCGTTAGCGGTCCCTTCCCGCGATGCTATCGCCCGTTACGCTATCGCACAATAGCGGTGATATATTACGGAATATGTCTGTTCGCAAAAGCGGCCAATAGTGTGTCATAAAGGTAAATAGTGAACGATTGCATTCGAAATTTGCTTTTTGGTTGCTATTTAAAAGCGATTTGAGGCTTATTTTTTTAAAATTAAACTCAACCCTTGATTATTGCATTCCACCGTCTCCTGTGATTTTCAGCATACTCCCACCATCTCTCATAGTCTCTGCCTCCTACCTTGATACTTCCTCTCACCTCCTTCATCGTAAGCTCCTCTTAGGGCAGTCCTGTCACCGCTAAGCTCTTCTTCTCGAAGACGATGACTTTTTGACTCATCCAGTCATCTTCGTAATCTTCGGTATTACGTGACAGTTACATGTTTATTTCATGTTTAGGATCTCTTTAAATCATCCAATATGTACTTTTAGATTTCTTAGATTTTTCTTTAATTTTTTTTTAGTATTTATACATATCTATCGCTATTTGACTTTGCGCTTTTTACCGCTATTTTACCGCAATAGTCCGAATTAGCCTTAACGATGCCTCACCGCTACGCGACGCTATCCGCTATCGATAACCTTGTTATATTAATTGATCCGAGTCAAGGTCACATAGTTTCTCAGAACCAGGGCACACTAAGACATTGTAAATCTATGAGAAGTTGTTATCATAACTGAACGAGTTTAAATAATGAAATCGTTTGAAAAAAACAATTACTTATATTAATTGATGCGAGTCAAGTTCACATACATGTAGGGCATGGATAGATGAATCTGCAATTGGGCAAACTAGTTTCTGTTAGAGAAGTGTCATATATACATTACATTATAGATAAACTTAGGCTCGATGACTCTTGAACCTTGATACTATGATTATCCTTGTATATCCACCTTTTGTTGAGTTAAAAAAAAGGAAAAGTAGATTTTCTTGTGACCTTGAAAACGCAAGGTCACTTGTTGGAGATCAGGAGAATTTTTTTCTTGCAGGTGCTCAAACAAATATGTTCTTAAGGAGACACTTGAAATATTTGGTGTTCTTCTAGAATTTACTAGTATCTTTTATGGAAGTCTTCTGTGCTTGTTCATGATGTGGTCTTCAAAGAATGACTTTGGCCAACTCTACTTGCATATTAGTTAGCGTTTTATTTTAGTATGCTTGCAGCCAACTTGAATCAGTCGTCACTTTCTCTTATGAAATAATGCTAGAATGTTTTTCAGAAGCGAACCTTTTTTGGGGCCTTTTTACTTGTGTGCACATCACCTCTTGGCTACAAACTTATGTGTGTGAGAATTTTAGTATTCAAACAAACCAATTCGTAATGTAACCAATTATTTGACTTTCGAGTTTAGTGTTATTCTATGCTACCATGGGAAATGGAGGTCTCCATAGTGTTTTGTTTGTTACAGTTCTCTGCATCATTTCGTAACATAACCAATTTTTCTTGGTCATAGAAGTATTTTTTATAGCTGCTTCTTGAGCTGTGGTGATTTGTAATATTGATGCTCCCTTGGCTACTTCACGTTTTTTCATGGTGTCAATGGCTATTGACTAGTCCATTGTAGTATATGATCTAAGTGATTGGGGGAGTTAATATGTTTTGGTGGTTGATAGAAACTAGAAAGTTACTCCATGTTTTCAATTTGAACCTTAAAACAACTGTATGGATGAACGAGTGGGTGACCTGGGGTCATGTAGTTTATAGGTTCTCTTTTTCATAGGTTTTCTTTTCTACACACATTTGGCTTCCTTTTTCTCACCGTATTGCCTTTTTAAGTTGAATGATTCCTGTGAAGGTGTTTCTTCAGTGTAAAAGAAAAATTTACTGCATAATGGACATACGAAAGATTCTTTTTGTCAATCAATATGATATAATGACAAAAATATTCAACCTTATCTTGAATTGTTTAAGGACAGAGTTCAGAGTATTAAAGTTACTGACACAAATCAAAGAAAGGGGGTATTGATAATGGCCAATCTGAGATTTAAGTCTAAGGTAGTTTAAGTTAAGTAACCAAACTTTATAATTACACGGTTTTGGATAGGGTTGTTGATTTATCATCATAGTAACTAATCGGGCTAGTAATAATGGGTTATACTGTTGAATCTTGATAGTCGTTTTCTTTTTTCATGTATGAGCGAATCTGGAGGATAAATTGTAATGGAAAAAAAATCGTGTACAATTATTTCTGTACGAGCTTGAGTTGCGAATGCAAGCGCATTTTCTCTCGATATCTGTTGATCGAATACGATTCTGTTGTGACATGCCCTTTTGCTAGGCTGATGCATCATTGTGACATGTCCTGAATATTTAAGTAGCATCAGCATGAGTAAGGGGTATTTAGGATATTATTTGGTTTTATAATTAGCTGTAATTTTAGCTGTGTTGACTATGGTTTTCAGTTTTAGAACTTTATCTGTTAATTTGATGTTCAGATTTTAAACATCACATAATTATGGCAAGGGTGACACTAGGAGCACACCCCCAACCACATCCCAAACCACACCCCCTCTCTTATATGCTACAGTATACTGGGCCCCACATGAGATTTTAAAATTTTAAAATCTTATGTGAGGCCTAGTGTACTGTAGCATATGAGAGAGGGGGTGTTGTTTGGGATGTGGTTGGGGGTGTGCCCCTATCATTTTCCTTATGGCAATGCATCTTTTGGTTTGGTTGCCTTTTAGCATTTAGGGATGCTGTACTATAATCTGTATATGTCACTTCTCTCTATTCTTGTCATGTTTGTATTTGTGCTTCTTTGTCATATTACAGCTTATTTTATTGACTTGCGAAGATTGCTTACCAGTTTCGTTGTTTTATCTAATTATAAGATTTATTCATGTGATCCTTTTCTTCCTCTTAGCTGAACTCTGGCAAAGTTATAGCTGTTGGTCCCGGTGCACGCGGTAAAGATGGGAATCTCATCCCTGTTTGTGTGAAGGAAGGAGATGTTGTTCTTCTACCTGAGTACGGCGGAACTGAAGTGAAACTGGGTGATAAGGAGTATGTTTCTTCCCCTTTCTTATGCAAGTAGATTATTTTATTTGGAAGATAATTTATTCTAACAGTAGATGCAATATTCACGCACTAATTTAATCCTATTAATAATTTTGGGCCAGTATTTTTATTGAAGTATTAGTTGATTATTTGCAAAAATCATGGTCATAATTCGTTTGTAACCTTGTTCGCTATAGAGCGACTAATATTGTTGGGTCATAAGTGGTTTTATTTCTTAGACTGTGTATCATTTTTGCAGAGGATTGATGTCATCACCTTCCTATATTTGAAAGAATGAAAGAAAAAAAACAAAGAAATAAGAAAACCAAAACCGAAAAAAGAAGCTTGGTTATTTCTGTTGTAGTTTTTCAACTGTGTTCTATTTTTACTCTATAAATAAGTGGAAATATAAATCTTCGGAGCTTTGCTCAATGCTTCTAGACTTGCATGTTTTTATCCTTGCAGGTACCATTTGTTCAGAGATGAAGATATCCTTGGCACGCTTCATGACTGATGCAGAATGCAAAGCCAATCAGTAGACTGTAAGAGACCATAAATGTGTACTTTCAATATTTAGGCAGCTGTAGTATGCTATTAAACTACTAAAAAAATGTCATTTTCTGATAATTTTGCTGCAAAGACTTATGTGACTGCTGATTGAATTTGCAATGATTGAACTAAAAAGTCTATTGTCGAAAGAACCATTGACTTTCTACAATATTTTCTTTGTTTGATACTTGCTTCCATTGTAGTTTATAAGTCTATAGTATATTCTTGATGTCGTGCTTTCTTGGGATGTCAAGGTCTTTTTATTGACATTTGAACTACACTGGTTATTTGAAGTATTTTCCAGAAGAAATGCCATATTTTTTTTAACTTTTCTTTTCCGGCTCTACGCTTGTTTGTTTAGGGTATAATTGCAATGTAGCTGTCAATTGCATGTGACAATTATTGTTGCAATCGCTGCTATATAGTTAAAGTTGTTTTGTTTCAGTTTAATTTTGATATTTGTTTTGTGATTTTGTAATTACAATGCAGAGAAGATATTCCAAAAATGCCCGCCTTCTCTAAAAGGCCACTAGCTTTATATTTTTAACAAATAAACCCCTAAGTTTTACTTATATTTTCTAAGAAGCTCCCAGCCTTCTTTTTTTGACAATGAAGGCCTTACATTTTACCCTTTTCCTACGAAGCCCTCAAGGTTTTACCCTTCTCTTCTAAGAAGCTCTCAAGTCTTCTTGTTAACTTAGCGATTTCATTTTCAAAAAAAAAAAAGAAAGAAAGAAAGAAAGCTTGAGAGATCCTTCAAAGAGAGGGGTAAAACTTAGGGGTGTGTTTATCAGAAATAGAAAGTTGGGGTCTTCTTAGAGAAGATGAGAAAAATTTAGAGGTTTTGTTTTCAAAATAGAAAGTTAAGGTCTTTCTTATGGAAGAAGGGTACAACTTGGGGGATTTTTAGGCTATATTCTCTAACAATGCAGCTGTCAAGTGCGTGCGTGTGTATGTATTATTTGGTTCGTTGTTTGACTTTTAATTCATAATTCATAGTTTATACTTGTAAATCATAGTCTATGCATGTAAATGTTATTTTAGCTGCGAGTTGAAAATTTTGTGACGGAGCAGTACGGGTCATCAGTTTCATTAAGGGGTGTGTTCATCAGTTGTTTTGTGCTTTGACCTAATTGTACATGTGAAGAACATTTACATGTATGTGACTGCTGCAAGATATAGAGTTTTTTTTTTCCACGTATTATTATCATGTATATATGTTACTTTTGGTTCTCTCTTAATATAGCTATGTTAGCGGCAGGGGCTTTTTAGCTGGCGTCTCGAGGGCAACCCAAATTTATGAGTATAAAAATTATCTTCATTCCAGTTGGCAACAAATTTATGAGTATAAAAATTATCTTCATTCCGGTTGGCAACAAAGTAATGAGCATAAAAATTATAACAGTCAATTCTCATTATATAACTTTGAAATCTTGGAGCAGTGACATACAATGGCACAAAATTTAAAAGGTTGAAAGCTGAAATCAATTTTACCAAACGATTAAAGTTATTAGCTAAGATAGGAAAGCGGTTATATATATATATATAATATATATATTATAATATTATATATTATATATATATATTACTATATATATTATATACTTAGCAAATACTTCTGTCAATTATGTGACGCCACTAAGTTTCTTATCCATGAAGGAGTTGCTTGATTGGCTACATTGTGGATGATCTCCGTTCCGTTCAACTTGATCTACATATTCTAAACCCCATCACCACAAATTTGGTGTGAACTCGTTTTTTGAACCAATTCCGTCGAGCCATGTAAAAAGTTCTATTCACTCGAAACGTTAATTGATACGGGGAATTAAAGGCGTCAACTTCGACGGGTCACCAAATTCGGTGATGTTGGGGTTGTTAGAATATCTAGATCAAGTTGAACGGAACGGATCATCCACAATGAGCTCAATCAGCAATCGATCAATGGATAAGAACTCTAGTGGACGTCACTTAATTGACAAGAGTTGGCGTCTTATATATATATATATATATATATATATATATTCCTTAAATCATGAGTATTTGTAAAATCACCATCCAAATCTTAGTATTTAGAAAACTACTTTTGAAATTATCAACCTTGAAACCCCCACCCAATAACAGTCAACAAATCATTAAACATTATAGTTGCAAATTAGCCTACTGAAGCTGATGATTGATTGATCATGGGTATATTTTTCAAAATCGATGATTTCTAGATAGTTTTGCAAATACTAAGGTGTGAAGGGTAATTTTTAAAAATGCTCATGCTTTAAGGGGTAATATGCGCACAGACAGTCATATGGACACGCACACACAAATAACCCCCTTTGAAAATGGTTGCTAAATGACCAACGTGGACCAAAATTGGAATAATCCTTTTGAGGGAAAAGGTGATTTTGGGTAATGAAGAAGGATCAATTATTCTTCCTTTGAAGAATCTTTCTGTAAAAAGGCATCTTTTATCTATTTGAAATTGGATCTTTTCTAATTAGTTGGTGATTGGAGTGAGTTCAATTTTACTTCACTTCTTAATGCATGTTTCAATTTGAAAAAAAAAGTGTGATTATACCCTGTAGATTTCTACTATTGTCTAGAAAACTGTCAGTATCAAAGTCAACATTTTGAATATCATTATTGGTAACAATACTGGAATGCTTATATGACATATTCACATCACTTGAAATTGGATCAATAGTAAGGTTTGAGATAGTTAGAACGTCCATGGCTCTCCAAACACATAAGGGTGAAGAAATCCATGGTGTCTTCAAATCCTGCTGTGCTAGCTCAGCCCATTTCAAAGTCACACTATTAGTTTAGCTTAGTTTCATTAGTTTATCTTCCTTTGGTTTTCTATCTCAAGCATGTTTCCTATCTCGCCCATTTCAATGTCACACTCGCATAAAAAAATATTCAAAGTCAGATACAACAGATACAAATACAAACTTCGTCATTTCGAAGAAGTAGGTATGCAAAATATAATAAATAATAAAATGAGGTAGCATGCCAAAAGCATTTTAAAACGCATGTCATACGACAACAAATTGTTTATTAAAGAACATTTGAATGAATATGCAAAAAGGAAAAAAAAAATCCATAAAAAATGCCCTTCTCCCAAACAGTAACTTTGGGGGTGTGTGAGGACTAAATTGCCCTTCTCCCAAACCAAAACAGGTCAAGTCTCCCAAACAGTAACTTTGGGGGTGTGTGAGGACTAAATTGCCCTTCTCCCAAACCAAAACAGGTCAAGTCCATTCCAGAAACACCGACTAAATTGCCCTTCTCCCAAACCAAAACAGGTCAAGTCCATTCCAGAAACACCCTCAACATCAAAAGTGCAATTTTCGGCAATCCAACTCCCAAAATTATTGTTTGGGAGTGCAGGGGCGGATCCACCCTTGTTCAAGGTGGTTCACTTGAACCACCTAAGATTTTCAAGAAACCTTATATATTATATATATCAGTAACAATACAAAACATATCTATAGCCTAGTGGTCGAAGTTGGTTAAGAACTTATGCAAGAGATTTGGAGATCGAATCTCCTAGCCTTCAAAACTTTAATTTTTAACTTAACTATTCTATTTTATGCTTCTTTTCTTTTTTTCTTCCCCTATATTTCTTTTTTTCTTCTTTTTCTTTCTTTTTATCCCTTTGTTCAGTCTACTCCTTTAAGGCTTTCTATAAATTTTTTTTATATATATAAGCCAAATCATTGCTTAAAAAAAGAAATTTTTCCCCTTTTAATAACTCTTTCTTTATTATTTTTTCTCTATTATTTGAAAAAAAATTAGTGTGTATTTTGAACCACAACTGAAAACGTCGTAGATCCGCCACTGTGGGAGTGGATATAGCAAACATGATAAAAAAGTTGTATATTTAAACCTTATAATTGCTTGTGTTTACCAAATTGTTGCAAGTTGTTCGGACTGACTTGTATTTGTAATTTTTTTTTTGTTTTTTTAAGATAATCTCCTCAAAGTCATGTAAATAAAGCTAGACTACTATCAATAACAATATCAATCTATATTTAAAATTTAGATTTCAAAATTGAAATCATTGGATATGAGCTATACAACAACTATCCAAAATCTTTTTTTTTTGAAAAAGGGTAAATTAAACCAAACCCCCAACAACTTTCAGTGTTTTATAGTAGTACACCAATAAGTTTCAAAATCACAGTAAAAACCCAACAACTTTCAGCGTTTTGTAAAAATCCCATTATACCCCAAATTAGGAGTTGTAGAAGACCCCCAATAAGTTTCTGCTTTTTACAGATAAACGGCATAAATTAGAACCATAACAAGATAAAAAAAGAAAATTTGAAGGAAAAGTTCAGCAAAAGGGGGAAAAACATTAGGGTTTCGAGACCCCAACTTGGACGCAAGCAAGAGAAGAACAAATGACAAAATATGAGAAATTCCCGTTTCTAGGGTGATATAAAAAGGTTATAAAGGGAGGTTTTAAATAATTAAAGGGGTATTTTTCTGGTCTTTTTAAGTCTCGTAGTTGCACGTGCCAATGGTGTTAACTTTGATGGTTTTCTGCAAAAATTATTGGTGGTTTAATGCAATTGTAAAAGTAATTGCGGGTTTGCTACAAAGTGACGAAAATTCTTGAAGGTTTAGTATGAGTTTGAAAGTTATTGGGGGTTTAGTGCAAAACACTAAAAAGTTATTGGACGTTTAGGGGGTGTTTGTTTGCATGCAAGTGAAAGATGAAAGTGAGAAAGTTACTTTCATTTAACAATTAAGGTGTTTGTTTTCATGTAAGTGGTTATGAAAGTGAGATGTAAGAAAGTTGCCACATAAGATTTAATGTAACTTTGACTTCCCCTAAAAAAGTGGTGAAGTCACATGAAAGTGACAAAAAGGTAAGTAATTTAATTAAATAATTTTAATTATATTTTCTAATTAATCTTATTTTGCCACGTCATCTTCACATTGCACTTTCGATAATAATTTAATTTTTCAAACAAACACTGTATTTCACTTGCGTGCTGACATGGATGTAAAAGTTATTTGTAAAAAAAAGTAACTTACATATTTTAAATTCACTTTCAGATTGCCAAACACCCCCTTAGTGTAATTTACCTAGAAAAACACATTTTACTCGAGTATCGTATACCATCAAGATTAGAATTTTCGTAAAGTTACTTAATTTTGATTAGAAACTGTCAAAATCTTTAAAAATTCCTGTAGGCTGTTCATGTGTACTCCATCATATCGTACGCTACGGATTTAAATTCAAGAATCAAAAGTTTGGATTGAGATCCTCTAATAAGGCATAGTGACTACTAATATCTCCTAATGTATCTTCACCTTTCACTCCTTGTATTTTGTGCTTATGCACAAAATGAAAGGTGGAGATGCATTAGGAGATATTAGAGCAGCTTCAACCGGGCTGCATTTCTCCAACCGGACTCTAATTTTTGGAGTCCGGCTGCAAAATCGGAAGATGGGCTGCATATTTGGAGTTTTATCCTCCAAATATGCAGCCCCTCCATTTCACTATTCCCCCTCATAAAATTTCCACTTTATCATTCTAACTAACTAATTATTTTTAGATATTTAATTTAAAATCAATATAAGTTTATTTCTACTAATTATTTTTAAATAAAAGTTTTACAGTTGGAAATGTTTTGTCGATACCTTCAAAATGAGACTAATATTGAATAATATTAATTGAAATATAAAATTTCAATAACCAAGTAATTAAAAATGAAAAAGTCATTATTTCATTATTAAAAAAAGTTACATCGCTTCATTTCCATGTCTTTCCCACAAATGTTCAATCAATGCATTTCGAAGTGCAAAATGAGCTTCTTTGTTTTTCAACCTCTTATGTCGAGCAAGGAACCGTTGGAATCGTTCAGTTTCCGTTATCTCCATATTTTCAGCATTCGGAATTGATTGTGGAGTTAAAATGACAATATCTTCTTGCTCGTCGCATTCATCTTCGACAATCATATTGTGTATTATAATACAAGCAGTCATGATATCATGCAAAGTTCGTTTATCCCAAAAACGGGCTGGCCCCTTGATGATAGCAAATCGTGATTGGAGAACACCGAATGCCCGCTCAACATCTTTTCGACATGCTTCTTGCATCATTGTAAAATATTGTTTCTTTTTATCATCGGAATTAGAAATAGTTTTAACAAGTGTTGGCCATTTCGGATATATGCCATCGGCCAAATAATAGCCGACATCATTTTTCCTTGAATTGTGTAATGAGCAGGAGGAGCAATACCTTGTGATAGATTGTCGAACAAATTAGACGACTGCAATACATTAATATCGTTATTGGATCCTGGTAAGCCAAAGTATGCATACCATATCCATAGATCATATGATGCTACTGCCTCAAGAATAATGGTTGGGCCTCCATGACGGCCTGAGTATTGTCCTGACCATGCTGTTGGACAATTTTTCCATTGTCAATGCATACAATCTAGACTTCCTAACATTCCTGGAAAACCTCTTTCTTCGCCCTTTTGCAATAACCTTGCAACATCGTCGACATTGGGGGTCCTCAGATATTCATCTCCATATACTTCTACAACTGCTCTGCAAAATCACTTTAAACATACAATTGCAGTTGACTCACCGATCCTAACATATTCATCAGTACTATCTGATGATGTTCCATACGCCAACATGCGAAATGCCGATGTAACTTTTTGTAAAGTTGATAGCCCAAGTTTGCCGACACCATCCATCTTCTGTACGAAGAAGTTGTCATGCTCTCGTACCGCCTCGACTATACGAAGGAATAAACTCCTATGCATCCGGAACCTTCTACGGAATAGGTTTGCACCATATGTAGGGTTATCAGAAAAATAGTCATGGTAAAGTCGAGAATTACCTTCTTCTCTCCCGCGATTGATCACCAAATGACCAGGAACTGAGCCAGTACGCTTTGGCCGCTCTGCCTCTTGAGAGAGATAAGTCATTATTTTATTATTAGAGGCATGTACGCGAGCTAAGAGTTCATCTTCCTTCTCCCATTGTGTCATATCTTCCTCTCAATCTTTAATGTACTGAGAAAATATTTCGTCGTCAGAAGAAGAAGAAGAAGAAGAAGAAGGTAGATGTGACGGTCCGGCTCCATAGTTCATTGATGAAGAAGTTATTTATAGAAATAATCATATAAGTTGTGAGTTATTTAGAGATGGATGTAATGTCATTATATAATATGACTCCCCACATTGGATTCTTTTCAGCATTGGCTTCTCAACCCTCACATTAGATTCCTTTCGTGTTGGAGACTCCCCACATTGGATTCTTTTCAGCATTGGCTTCTCACCCCCCACATTGGATTCCTTTCGTGTTTGAGACTCCCCACATTGGATTCTTTTCAGCATTGGCTTCTCACCCTCCATATTGGATTCCTTTCGTGTTGTGTTGGATACTCCTCACATTGGATTCTTTTCAGCATTGGTTTCTCACCCTCACATTGGATTCCTTTTGTGTTGGAGACTCCCCACATTGATTCTCCTAGTGTTGGAGACTCCCCACATTGGATTCTTTTCAGCATTGGCTTCTCACCCCCCACATTGGATTCCTTTCGTGTTGTGTTGGAGACTCCTCACATTGGATTCTTTTCAGCATTGGCTTCTCACCCTCACATTGGATTCCTTTTGTGTTGAAGACTCCCCACATTGGATTCTCCTAGTGTTGGAGACTCCCCGCATTGGATTCCTTTCGTGTTGGAGACTCCCCACATTGGATTCTCCTGGTGTTGGAGACTCCCCACATCTGATCCCTCTATAATATTTGCACAATTTTTATATCTCCACCACAACTCTTCTTATTCTATATTCATATCTCTTTACATTCCTCCATCATAATAGTATCATCCTAAACAACGTTATCTCCTTAGATTATGACATCTAGTCGCGAAAAATCTTTTTTACAAGAAGAAGACCAAATTTTATGCGCCACGTGGCTCAAAATTTCTCAAGACCCAGTCATGGGTTCTAATCAAAAGAAGGACAAGCTGTGGGAACGAATTTCTGCTTTATTTCATGAAAGGATTTCCAATATTTGTAATGCTCAAAGGACTCCGAAGTCTCTCTCATGCCGAATGCAATTAATTATGAAGGCCATCAGTAAATTTCGAGGATGCATTCGACAAGTCGAGCGCTTAAATCCAAGCGGTGCTTCTGAGCTTGACATTGTAAGTATTTTGAATAACATAAATCTTGATTATCATCTATTATCATGTTATTAATAAATGTTTCTTCCTCTCTTGTGGTAGATTAAACGTGCTAGGGTAATATTTGCAGAAGATCCAGAAGAGAGAAAGGGGTTTCTATTTGATCATGTTTGGTCAATTTTAAAAGATGCAGAGAAATGGGCAAATATAAGTGTCAGATCGCCCGCAACTTCCAAAACTTCAAAGTCCCGCTCATCTCAGGGATCAGATACAAGTTCTCCTGCTGTCGACTTAAATGACGATAATGAGGGATATACTCATAATGACGAAGATATGATAACAAGTCGACCGACAGGAAGGAAGAAAGAGAAGATAAGGAGGCGACATGCAACTGAAAAGAACCTCGACTAGAAACTCTCAATAAAAGCAATCAAGAAATTGTCGATATTTTTAAAAAAAAGTCATGGACAACGAGAAAATGATAGAATGACAATGCACCAGATTATGATGTTAAGGGCCAAAAACGATAAGAAAAAAAATTAGATATTCAAAGGGAACGATAGGAAAGTAAGATTATGTTGATTAATCTTGATACTATTACTGATCCTTCGGAACGCGAGTATTTTCAAATTAAAAAATAAGAGATTTTAAATAGAAACACAACTGGAGGTTCTTCATCTGATATTCCTAATCCTGAATATAGTTATGCAGGAAGTCAATACGGAATACCTGACTACAGAAGCGGTGGATATGGAGGAAATGGCATGCCCGATTTTTAGTTTATTTCATGTACTTTATTTTTCTATGTAATGCCGCTGAATGTAATATATAAAATTTCATCATTCGGGGTAGTTATGAATGTTGTTCCAAATATTATGCTATATTTTCTGGTTTTTAAAATTTAAAGGCTCTTATCTATGTCTTATTATCAATTTATTAAAGCTAATTAATTTTATTTAAATAGTGAGTAAATTATATATTATAATTTTAGTAATAATTTATAATATATTTTATATTTTAAATTAATTCATATAATTTTTTTAACATTTTATATTTTTTATATTTTCAAATCCATTTAAAGTATTATAAAAGCAATCAAGTGAAAATATATAAAATAGAGCTTCATATAGAGGGGGGTGGTTGGAGTGCCCCCCCCCTCTAAAAAAGCATATTCCCACAAATATGCTTTGGGGAGGCTGCATTTTGCAGCCTCCCCATTAGAGTTGCTCTTAGGAGGCACTATGTCTTAGTAGAGGATCCCAATCCCAAAAGTTAACACTTCAACAATGATACCCACATTTTTTTAACAGTAGTCTAGCTCAGACTCAACCTTTTGACCACCCTTTTATAGTGTAGGGGAAATTTTGAATGTGACTAGCAAAGCCCTTCAATTAAGCAGTCAATTTTTGAAACATAGTAACTAACCATTAATTTGCTTGATTTTATGAGAAACGCATAACACACGCGGTTGTGCACTATAAGACACATCAGCTTGAGATCCCTTCAATACTCTCATCAAGGTGACTCTTATTTCATCAGTTAATTGTAAATTAAATCCTCAAAACTTTAGAATTGCCTATTATCCTCATTTAAAATACAATTATGTAACCTAATCAAATTTATCCTCAAACCTAGATAAAGAATAATGTTGTCTTCGGTCGATGCTAATAGAATTTAGAAATGTATACTCAGCTACATCCCCATCTTACAGAGTATGCATCTAATATTCACCCTTATGGTTTTATCTACCTCTACCAATAATCTCCATGCTTTCAAACTATAGCGGCATGTAACAGACGCGAAGCCAGTATGCACCCCCTTTTAATTCGGATTGTCACGGCAAAATTCACACTGATACAAAGAGATATAGTAACAGTATTCTACTACAAGCACTTACGTGCGTAAATCCACACATAAAACAAAGTAGAAGTTGGTCTACTCGCATTTAAGTCACAATTTTACTTCGTTGATACAGAGAATACACTAGAACACCCAACAAGGTAGCCTTACAGAGGCAATACTCGAAAACATGTGCTTCCTTTAACTAAAGGTGTTGCATATTTTTGTGCGAGGATCTACCAAGAGTTTCCCTCAGCACCAATAAATTTTCGCGCAGCATCTATGCTGATTTTTTCGTATACCTGATGTATGAAAAAAGCACATTTCATATTAAAGTTGGGAGGATGTATGTAATAATGAAAGATGTGGCAGAGAGCAGAACATACAATTTGCTTATGAACTGTTTGAACTGCCTTGCAAAATTCCTCTGCCTTTGTAGGACCCACCTGAGAGATTAGAGGCATTTTTAGTCAATGATCATGAATTTTGATTTCCTGTAACTTACTGGGTCAGTTACTAGATACCATATCAGTATATACATGACAGCCGATAAACTAACAAGGAGAAGGTAAAGATCTAATTTCTTAGGTTTCCCCAAAATAAAACAAGTAAATTTTAATTGCCATCAAATTAATACTCCTATATGACTAGTTCATAGAGTTTTGATGACATGTATACAGCGTGTTGAAGACAACATTAACTTTTGGATTTTACTTGTGCAGTGAATTGTGCTTAAGTATTTCCCAAGCCTTAGGGTCCTTGGAAAATGGGATTTGGAGATAAATACGGGAAAAAGTAATGATCCTGCCCTTGCTTTCAACTCCTATGGAAACTAGAAAAGTGTATATAGTTTATGACATACAGAAAGTTTTAACTAAGGAAGGTTAAAGTGTGTGGTGAGATGGTACCGATTTTTTCTCATGACTTTCCTCCTCTAAAGGAGCAATTAAAAAAAAAAAAAAACTTATCCCATGTGGCATGTGAGTTTCCTTGACTTTCCTTCCTCTAAATGTTGGCTTTCAATTTCTTCCCCAACTTTGTCCAAGTTTCCTCCCAATTCCATAGCCAAAAGCCCTCACCCACCCAAAAAAAAAAAAAACACCCACCCACCCACAACAAAAAGAAAAAGGTAAACATTGATATAGATCGATAAATTTCCATCCCTGCATTTACTCATCAAATAGGGTAAGTGATTTCGTCTTATACACTGCCGGAGCAGATATGCAACTAAAGATACTTAAAACAAGTTCTGAGTGATATCGTCTATTCATCCTGATCTTGAAACAACATATAATGAAACTTAAAAGGTCAGATATTTGTTTCACGATGAACACCTTCTCTTAATGTGTTAGCTTAAGTTAATACCCTCTTTATAGTCTATGAAGCACGGACACGGACACAGCGACACGGACACGACACGGACACGGCAAAACCCAAAAAAATAGGACATGACGACACGGCTAGATTTTTTTAATATTATTATTATATATAGATCAATATTGAATTAAATTCCTATTATATTTTCATATTTTTTGTTATGTAAAGTGAGGATTATAAATAAGAAACTAATGGAAAGTGTGTGTGTTGTAGGTGTGAATTAAGATGTCGGGATGACAATGATCTCTTGGAGAATTAAAGACAATAATGTTAAAGAAGATAAGAAAGAAAAGATGAACATATAGAAAAATAGATCAATTTTTATGTTGTATTATTATGTAACATTGGCTTGTATAATCAATGACAAGTATAAGTTATGTAACTCACAGCAGCAAACAGATATTATCACCCTAATTAACTCACAGCAGCAAAACAGTAAAAAAAAATTACAACAGTAAAAGAATTATGTAACTCACAGCAGCAAACAGAAATTATCAACCTAATTAACTCAAAGCAGCAAAACAGTAAAAAAATCACAACAGTAAAATAATCACTAACCTAGATAGCAGTCAACAGTAAACGAGAATACCACCCAATTAGCACCTAACAGTGAACGGAAGTGGCTATCTCTAGTAACACTCAACAATAAAACAGTAAACTAAAATTAACAATTTTAAAATATTAAATTATCGTGGTGCGGGGCAGCGAGACTTTGAAATTTGTAGGGGTGTGTGATTCTTGAGAGAGAGAGAGGGAGAACAGTGATTTGTTTTGTGTAGTTGAAAGTTCGCGGGGGGTCTTTTTGTGAAGTTGAAAGTTCACGGGGGTTTTGTGTGGTGAGAGAGAGAAAGAGATAAAAGAGGGAGAGAAAGAGATAAGAGAGAGAGAGAGAGAGAGAAAGAGAGAACCAGAGAGGGAAAGGGATAAGAGAGAAAGAGAGATCGATCGGAGATAGAGAGAGAGAGCGACTGAGAGAGAGAGAGATCGGAGAGACTGACCTTGGATGATCGACGACGACGAAGCTGACGGGGATGATCGACGATGACGAAGCTGACGGGGATGATCGACGACGACGAGGATGAGAGAGAGAGCTGGCGGCTGTTCTTCGGGTAAGTTTGGGTTTGAGAGCTGATGAGTGACGGCTAGGGTTAGGGTTTCAAGTTTGAGTTTGGGTTTCGGGTTTTGGTTTCAGATCTTATTTTTGGGGTTCATTCTCAGCCGTGTCGGGAGAGAAATCGTGTGTCCGGCCCGTGTCTACGGCGAGTCGAAGCGTTGACCCGTGTCGGCGCCGTTGACCGCGTGTTCGACGCGTGTCGAACGCGTGTTGAACGCGTGTCCGCGTCCGACGCGCGTCGGAGACCGACTCGCCGGCGGTTTTGAAGAGTCGGTGCTTCATAGTTTATAGTATCATCTATAGCCTTTTCTGATGAATTTGGCAGCTGGCTTCCACATTATTTGGATATATGTTCATTTTGATAAGAAACAAAAACTAAGTAGGACAAGGGATGAATGCATATGATCAATATCCTACAATTTTAGATGAAACATGAACCTTCCTGTTACTGTTAAAGACTCATGACATATTACCATTAGGCATAGAAGGGGGAAAAAATCATCTCATCAGGATGGTAGTGCAAGTGAAGGCAAGAAGAGTAGTATTCAGTGATATATACCACAGGATTACCGCTTACCTTTTCCTCAGCTGCTGACCGTAGTTTTTGCCAAAAGGGATCTGTTAAATGCAAAATCAACAGACAACAATTAGTAATTCTTGAGTACAACAAGCTGTCCAAGAGCAGACAAGAATCAATCCAACATTAACTTAAGCTTGACGACTATAAATTGGCTACTTTTTTGCGAGGCAAAAGATAAGGAATTCATATGACCATGAATTGACTACTTATTCGTCTCCTATTGATAGCCTTCTTCTTTTAGTTTCTATTCAAGATAAGATTTCATACATATAAAATGTAACTGCAAGTCTGCAACCAACAATATTGAAAATTATTGAAAAACCTACTATAGTGAATCACTGAAGCTCAAGTGCAGTGCTTCCTCAATAAGATTGGCAGCAAACTCATCAAAAGGATATAGGCACCTATATTAATCATGTTCTTTTATTAGTCCTAGTTTCAGCCTACAGGCTATGTCACACTTTGTGGTAAGAGCATCGACTATTGTTATAGGGGATTGAACTTGGAAAAAGCGATTAAAATAGTTAGTTTACATGAGAACATTTTATTTTTCTTTGCAACCAAGAAAGATGGAACACAAGTTCACAGCATGCCAACAGCTGTTTATTAAGAAGGATACAAACACAAATTTGAAGTACAATTTCATTCTCCAAGGCTCAAACTTTGATATTGATGTTCAAGCAGATACACAGAATCACATATAAATATTAATTTAACAATTGAAGTTGAAAAATTATTATCAAGGAAATCAGAAACTCAACAAAAGATAAAAATCCATAGCTTTCATAGTGCATCTAAGACACTTATCAAGTGGATCTATCTACCCTTTAAATGAGGGAGTTCCAAAAAAACTTTTTTCTTCTATCCTATATATATTCTACTCAACCTAAACCCAAGATCCGATCCTATGGCTGACCAATATTTAACTGAACCGTTGTACAAATAGTCTCCTTTTCCAACTTTTCAAGGAGCGAAGACGGACGAGTGATGATTTTGCTCCTCGAAGGAAGTTCAAGTAGCAAATTTTTGCTTATTGGCTAGCTAGGGGAATACTGGTATAGAGAAGATGCATTTGAACTATTTTCTTGTTTGCTTTTAGAGGCCAAAGTGTGAAAGAAAGTTAACAGGAGAGGTTTTTTTTCCTTTTTGATTTTTTCCCTTTTGGTTTCCTATAGATAATAGTTTGAAGAAAGGGGTTTTGGTGTGATTAGTCTTTGGAGTTAGCTTTTGTGTTGGAGGGCTAAGTTTATACATGTGTATTGTCCTTTGGGACGTTTCTTGCGGGTTAGGAGCAGAAGTTCATAATTAAAAGAAACCAATATTTCTCCAATAGCATGTTTCCATTAACGAGAGTTTAGAATTGAAAGAAAAAACATTTGCCTTTCATAATACAGAAATATGATATATATTATGTGAATATGATATATATTATGTGAAATTTGCACATGTTTATAGATATTATATTACTCAAGAAATATGGAAATATGATGTGTTATGTAAATATTGCATAACAATAATACAGAAATATGATATATTATATGTGAAAATTTCATAAGATTATAATTCATAATATAGTATGATATATGTTATGTAAAAATTCTTTAAAATCAGATGATTATACGAGCCCTTTTTATGCATATTATTTTGTTCTCAAGCACTTTTCCTTCTCTTTTCTTTTGTGCTTACAGAAAAGAGAGATTCTATTTTGTGAAATGTGTACGAAGGACGTTGGTGCTCGAAATTATGCAATTTACCGACCCTCCTAACCATTCTCCTTCTCTCTTGCGTATAATAAATAGAAGGATTAAAAACGAAGTGGATCTCGAAAGAAGCGTCATTTAGATATTAGTTACCTAAAACTTCAATAATTTCATATTGGTCCATCAATTTTTTGTATTTTTTTAAAAATAAACCAAGTATTCACTAGGCCAAACCCAAGATTGAACCCCTATTAAGAGAAAAAAAATATTTTAATTAAAAAATAAACTTAAGAAGCTTCATGAATAAGCAAATTGGCATATAAAAGCTCAAGAATTCAAAATTTTGTTAATTTTGTTAAAGAAGTCTTCAGCATAGGTAAATTTGTAGAAATGCCAAGAAGCCTTACATACTTTGCATATTTTGCAAAAAAAAGGTCTATGAAGTTAGAAATTTCACAAAAATATTAAAAAATTTCATAAATTGAATATTTTGCATAAACTCCACATAACTCACTAAGATCCCAAAAACATCCATAAATTGCAAATTTTGCAGAAAAAAATCTGGAAGTTATAACTTTTATAGAAAATCTAAAAGACTTCTATTATTACCCCTAAAAGTGCTAAGTATTAATCACCACTGAGAAGTTGACACATGTCTTACACTTTGCCTAACCAAACTAAGTCACAACTAAGAAAATATCTGACTCGGCACGGTCGGCTTGATTGGCCGACATCTCGCGTAACCAAGTCAAAAGACGGTACTACTCGATCAACCTCTCAATTGAATGTCAGTGATGCGATTCGGCCCATTGTGCAGGCAACATCTCACGTAATCGAGTCAAAAGGTGATACCTCTCGACCTTGGACCTGAGGAGTCAAAGGACGGCTGTTAACCCCAATGACCATGATGAATATGAGACTCGTGTCTGTGTCACTTGTAGATAGTCACTTTCTATTGAGGAGGATGGTGTTGCTCGATGTGAAATTTGATTATCTAGGACTTAAACATTATTGAGTACTCTTGTTGTTTATAAAATTAACAATCATGTTCCTGGAGCAGTCTAAAATTTGAGGATTGGTTGCAATGGATTCTTTATTTGGGAGATCCATGTGATAAATGTATCTTATTTCCTGTACGATTTTTTTTGATTTTGCAGGTAGGGTCATGCTGGCATGCACGGTAAGGTTTAGGGCCTTAGGCAAATGTATATCCTCTGATATATTCCTAAATAGCTCAGGACTGGAAGTATCTTGTGTTACGTTCAGATAGTATTTTAATGCTTATTACTATAAATTAGAAGATACATGAGAATTCACATAGTTAAAGAATTTCCTCATATTGCCCACCCTCTAAGTTCGTACTTCATATCATCTATCTTATATTACTAGAGTAGTCTTAACTTTTACTATATTTCTTATGTTCATGAGTCACAGTAAGCATTTGGTCGGTATCTAGACATGCATGGTTTCTAAAAAATATATATCAACCTGAAATATTTGAGAGCCTATTGTCTATCTTGCCTTCTTTGATGTGTTCATGCAGACCTACAAGAACCTTTCACATCTGAAGCTGATGAGCTAAAAGTTATATTATAGTTTTTCAGGAATAACTTATGATTTTTTTCTTGTTTAAACTGAGAAGTTTTGTAGAAGAGGCTTGTGTACAATCTTGATGACGAGCTCATTAATCAACAAGGGAAGGGAAAGGCCAAGCAACAAAAGAAGACATCTGAGAAGATTGTTGATGAGTCCTTTGCAAGAAGAGATTCAGATCATGGACATATCCTCTCAGATTCTATTCAATAGGGCAATGGCAAAGCTTAGTTTATATGCCTTGTGGACGAGTCTTAATTGCAGAAGCGCATGAGTTCCTGTCTGAACTTTATACAGATGGTAGGGTGAAGAAGCTGCTTGCGCAAGGTGTATCTCAAAATCGATATTATAAAAAAAAAACTCCTGAGCAGGTATGTGCCACATTTATTGCTAAAAATCTTTCATCCAAGCTAATATAACTGATTTATCATAATAACGCCTCTTGTCGAAATACATCAATAGAGCCAAACTTGTCAAAAGGATCAAAGTGTTGATTGGTGACCAGCTGCTTCTTTTAGTAATGAACATATTTAAGCCAGAGGTAACTTGGTTTCTCTTACATTGCTTAGACTTGATGAAGATTGATTTCCATTAGCCCTTAACTTTTTTGCTCACATTAACCATCATCTCGGCATATAAAACAGAACGTTTTCATAATGAAAACAAGGATTGCTAATAAAGAAATCCTCAGCGATATTGTCCTTATTTGATAATTTCTTACTTTCTGCCAGTATTCTACTTCTGAGAATTTTATGGGTCATAATTGAGTTGGTTTTAGTATTTTTAGTTCATCGATCCTTGGATATCTATCAATATGGTTCTTCCAAAATTTTATTCATTACCTTCTGTAACATTACAATCTCTAAATACCTTACATTCAACTCATTTAATTGAAAATAAATGTAATTAAGATAGATAACTGTTTACAAATGCATTCAGATGATTGTCTTAAAAAAATGCAGCCAGATGCTTGCATAATCCATCATATACACTGAAATATTCCAAAGAATCTATGTTCCATAATTGTCTATAGTATCAGATGTCGCATTTACTGTTTTCTTTCAATTTACCTCTTAATGTTTGTGTCTTTTTACTAATGTTTTCCCTTATTATGTTTACTATTTTCTTCTAACAATTATGTGATGAAGGGTTATTTTTCATTAGCCATCATAAATATCCATAATCAAGGTATAGAAGCATACCATACAGGTACCACATCATCAACCGATATTTCATTGAATCCAAGTCCTAGAATGCCATCAAATTTGGCCATCAAGAAATTGAGGCTTGGTTCCTTAGTCGCTTCAATGAAAACTTGAGAAGAAATACTTGGGAGTGATGAACTCAATGCTATATGTTCTTTGAAGATACATATCCACTTAATAAATTTTCTTCAGAATATCCCTTAACTTTGGAGTTTTGTAGACAACTTTTAATATAATTCTTTGTAGATGATCCAATGATTTATTATCTACTTTAGTTAAAAATGTAGATTGTAGCCATGAAATTTTTTTCAAGTAAAAAATATGGTATAAATAAAAAAATTAGTTGATATTTGATAATAATTCTTATCAATGCATTCAAAAATGAAAAGTCAAGCATTAGGTTAAGGAATAGTAGGGACAATTTAGTTGCTTAATACTGAATACACTTAAGTATTCAAGAATGAAAAAAGAAGTGTCTTTTTCCCTACTATTTTTGAGCATGATGCTGATAAAATATTAACTTTAAAATAATATGTTAGCTATATTGTTTAAAATAATATTAAAAATATGTTAGCTATATTGTTTGCATTCAATAAATTTATACCAAATCTTTGCCTAAATAAAATTATAATTTAAAATAATATTAAAAAAATTTAGCTATATTGTTTGCATTCAATAAATTTACACCAAATCTTTGCCTAAATAAAATTATAATTCAAAATAATATTAAAATTTTTAGCACGTGCATTGCACGTGCAATTCAACTAGTAGAGTAAAAAAATGCAGCATCACTTTGATTATTGACAAGTTGCTATTCAAATATTATTCATATTTTTTTCTGTTTGATTTGATAATTGCCTTCAAAGGTAGAGATATTTTGTATAATGGCTGCAAGCTATGATGGAACTATTGATAAGGTGTTGTATATTACTCATTGTAATATTGTGTGCAAAGACTTTATCTCATCAAGGTTTATGGAAGGGTCTTCAAAGACTTTTCTTATTTAACTACAACAGGAAGAAGGGCGTTTCACATGCTAGCCAAAAGATTCCAAAAAGAAATAACGTAGCTATGCATATAATATCAACTTAACCCTGTAAGTAGAGGAATTGGCAAGTGCAATTTTCTGTGGTCTTTGTTCTTCTTTTCTTGGTTGATATGTCAAAGATATACAGAGGGGCAATATGTTATGCAACTACCATTCTTCTTGTATTCCCTCTTTTAATTTACCTCTGTATGTAACTAGCAAATATCTTCTATGTGTGCTAGTGGATATTTGTGATATTGAACGACCGTGTAACACTATGTTCAGCTTTCAACTTAGATTGGTTTTATTTTGACTCCGCCCATTACTCTGGTCAGACAGTAGCACCACAGCTTATTCAACTTTCTTATACCTCAAAGTGCAGTTAAATTGATCAAAATATTCTTTTCTCTTATACCAGAATCTGAGAGACAAAATCAGCAGTCATCATGGACGAGTCCAGGACTGTTCAGCTGGGGGGCGAAATAGAGGTTCTAATATAACTCAGTTCAACTATTCCAACAAGCTAAGAAAACTCAGTTCAACTATCCTAACAGCCTGTTCCGAAACCACTTGTTGGGAATTGGGATTAGACCAATCAACTGAGTGCACAAAACTTGAAATGGGAACACTGAAAAAAAAACACAATATGTCAAGATTTACGTGGTTAGACTCTGCTGCATATGTCCATAGGGGAGGAGAGGAGAGATTCACTGTCACAACATCAAAGTACAGAGAACGGAATAAAGCTTACAAGAATCATCACAACCTAATCCACACTATTCTCTCACTAAAGAACAAGAGAGAAGGAAAAAAAACATTACTCTCTCTTTCATCTTTTCTCTCCTTCTTTACTTTTTCTGTAGAATGAATGGAGCATACCCTCCCTGTACTCACCAGATGATCACCAGCATCACACAAAAGCACAAAAAATATTGAAAACACAAGACACAATGACACATGGGGATCTCTCAATCTCACAAAGGAGTATGGCTTCACTTATCAAATTGTGAGAGCAAAAGCAAAAATATGAAGATCTCTCAATTGATGTGTCTCGTATAAATTATTAATTTCAATATGTTTATATATAGCCAGGTCCCTGTATCTGATATTTTACAAATTTAATATGTCTCGTATCCACGCTCATAGTGTCTGCACCCGCACCCATACCCATGCAACCTAGGATTTAAGTCATCGCAACAAGCATCCTAACCCTGGCTCATCCCTGGCAGTCTTTGCACAAGAAACACCAAGTCAAACATCTTACGTAAACTTAGAAACCATGGTGTTTTACTTGTTTCCATAGTGTTTTTGCCAAAAACAAAACACCATGCGTTTGAAAACCATGGTGTTTTTGAGCTAAATCATCCTCAAACCAAAAACACAATACTTATTTCAAAACACCTAAAAGGCGTTTTAACTTTGGTGTTTTGGTTTTGAGTTTGAGAAGGTGTTAATATAACATCTAACATAATATATTAAATATAATTAACATAGAGTTATTATCAACATGCTTATTATACTATACTATACTATATTATAGTTACTCTAATATATTAGTAATATTTATTAAATAATATAAAAATATATTAAATAAAATATCTTATATAAAAATATAATAAAATATTAAATACTAGTATTTAATATGTTAACAATGTATTATATAATAATAAATAATAATAAAATATAAATAAATTAATAAAAAATAATAAAAAAGTTATTGATAATAAATAATAATATAATAATATACTACACAATAGTATAATCGCTATAATATTATTAACTTTTTAAAGTACTATTAATAAACTCTAACATATTAAAAACTATAATATATTATATAATATTAAAATATTTATAATATATTAATTTATTAATAACATACTAGTAATAACATAATATTAACATTATTAATAATATTATATTATATGAATAATAGTATAATATTATATTATATTAATAATAGTATAATATTATATTAATAATAAAATAACATTATTATAAAAATATTAATATAATATATAACAATAACAAATTGATATACCAAAATAATTAAATATATAATTATTTGAAAATAATATGTAATAATTATAATATAATATAACTCATTAAGTACGTATAATATTATAATACATTATACAATTTTGATATTGCATTGTATTTAATACTTCTAATACTATAATAATGTAAACTAAATATTATAACATTTTATTTACAATATATTTTATTATAATTAATATATAATATATTAATAATATGTTTAATACTAATATTGTAATGGGTCAAACTCGTGTTGATCAAAGGTGGTTTGAAAACGTTTTAAGGGAAAAACACAACACCATGGTGTTTTTTACAAAAACACAACAAAGAAAACACAATGGTATCCAAACGAACAGGATGTCTAGGTGACTTGGCAAAAAGGCAGATCAGTCAATGACTTCCTGAATCACTAATCCTCAACTATATAAAAAAGCCCTAGCGGCTGGAGTTTTCGTGTAAAAATTCTCTGGACAATTTTGCCCCTCATAATTTCCAACAATCACGCACACTACCAACTAGCACATATAGAATTACTAGCTAATCTCATTTTTTGCCAACAATTCACAGCAACTCTCCGCCTTAAACAACGGCACCAATCAAGGTTTCAGGGGTCCATAAACTCACTGCAATGTGCTCTCTCCCTTTAATCTCACAGGTCTTTTTCAAACAAATTCAATTATCCAAACCCCAACCCACCTATTAATTCTCACAATTAATCCCTCAACCTACCTTTTTTAATTGTTGGGGTAGCCTCAAAATGTGGTAGTAAGAGCATCTCCAAGGGGCCGGAAAAATCTGGCCCCTTAGCTAAATTTGGGGGTTTTTAAGGGAGATGAGCTCCAAGGGGCCGGAAATTCCCCCCTTCACCCCCATGTCCCTTAACATCCTCCCCAAATTAAGAGGAAGGTTAAAGTCCATTAACCTTCCCCTTATAATTTTATAATAATATATTTTGTTTTAGAGTTAATTTATAGTTAATTAAATTTAGTTAGTGTATAATTAATTTAAAATAATATAATTATTTGTTAATATAATTTAGTTAATGTATAGTTAATTATTATCTAAATTAATTATTTGTTAAATTTTAATATGATTAATTAATTTAATGATTATATAAGGTTATTTCTTAATCTAAATTAATTAATTAGTTATTGTTAGTTATTAATATTGAATTATTTATTCATTTATAAATAAACCACATATTTAATTAAATCCTAATCTATAAAATTAAAAAACTAAACATAATTAATTAAAGGGTAGGGGACTTTTAAGGGGGAACCATTGGAGGAGAACCAACCCCTCCCTTAAAGTTCCCCCTAAATTAAGGGATATCCAAGGGATCCCTTGGAGATGCTCTAACATTTAGTTTTTAGTTTGCCTTGTGTATACTGCATCAAACATAGTGAGAAGTGGCATAATTGTGTATTCATCCACTTGAATTTATGCAGTAGCTCAATTGAGCCCTACGAACAGAAATGTGTGCAAAGGAAATGTATGTTTGATGTGGAGAAAGCACATGCATCGCACGTGCCTCTTTGGTACTAGTATTAGAAACTTGGGTATCCGTATATCTGAAGGCTGAAGCGAGTATGTCAAAAAAATCTCGCCAAAGTGCATATTTCCCAAGATAAACATCTTTCTAATCCCTAAAGAATACTCTGGGAACAGTTTAAATATTACTTCAAGGAAACTAACATAATACAAGAAACCCATAGGTGCTGTTTCACGATGGGTTAAGGACAAGCCAAACCCATAAAAGAACGATTACGAACTTAACTAGGCATTTTCAAACATTTGGATAAGATTTTCGGAGTACATAGCTTGCATTTCTTCAATCATCGAAATAACTCTCAAGTATCTAGCTTAATTCTCAAGTACATATAGGTAGCAAATTACTCATTTACTAATGTAAATGTTTTTACGTTTTCTCAAGACTATCCACAATTATACGATATATGTCTTAGTTATACAAAAGATAAATTAAACATAACCTTCAATATCATTTACATGCAAGCATTTAGTGGCCACTCATAGGGGAAGGGTTGTTGAGATTTTACCGACATAGCTCTTTTTTACATGGTCTTCATTCATTCCTTTATGTGAAAAACCCAGTTACCACTTAAAATACCTACATGTAAATCCCCATCTAACCCCGCTAAGTTCAACATGTTAGCTCGGATTAGCTAAATCCATTTATCTTTAAGATTTTTTTGGCAGAAGAAACCCGGGCAGATCTTCTAAAACATGGTTTAACCTGTTGTCAAACAGAGTCATAAAATAGTAAAACAAGGTGAAATTAAATTGGATCAAAGTCCCAAGGAATTTACACTATAAATAGAAGCAAGAAGATCCAAATCTTTCAGATGGTTATATGCAGAATAAAAAACGATTAATGTATGCACATCAAATATATAGAGGTACCATCATAATCAATTTCTTTTGGTTCACTCTTCTTATCCATCTCACTCCAGGCATCCTGCCATTCTGTTACCTGTTAGGAGTACAGCTACATGTCAAAATCTTTTCATTAACAAACAGAGTAGTAGGAATATAGAACAATGGAGAGAAGTTTGTCAATGAAAGACCTCCTCGTCTGTTGCACGTGAACTGGATCCTTTTTCTGAATCAGCTGCCTGGCATCAGGCAACAGCGTTTGAGATTGATATGATAATTAGAAAGGTAAACAAACAATATTGAAAGAAACCATGATAAAAACAAGAAGAAGGGGAAAGAAATATTAAAGAAAAATGAAGTTTGAACTCGCAAAGCTATTTACTTTCTCTAAAACACCAAATTAGCAGTATAAAGGATAAGAAATAAATTATTTGTAACTGAAACATTCTGCGCGATGAATAAATAAAGATACATTTTTAGCATACAAAATTACACCTTCAACTAGCTACATCTTAGCAGCTTAATATAGTTATTCACAAGTATCTAATAAGACAGGAAAATATGAAAGTTCAAGAACTTCCGGTGCAAATTTTATACAGGTACACTTATATCAAAATCAACACGGTAGAGCTTAATAGGGACTATTTAGAATAGACCGAAAGAATGTTTAAAAGCTTCTTCTCTGACAATTAGATGCTAACAAAAACGGACAGCAAATAATATGTTATACATTGGAATAAGGTCCATAACTTGGAAGTATCCAAATGGTTTTTCTTTAAACGTGCATGCCAAAGAATAAGGTCCATAACTTGGAAGTTGCTCTTTGAATGTGCATGTCAAAGAATGAAAGTGATTGCGTGTATATAACTGAAGCACCCTTTATGATCATGCTACTCAATGCCTTAGGATTCTTGAGTTGGTTGTAGTGTGGCCCAGGGTGTGTTGACGAGCAAGGAGGTGTTTGTGAAGTAACATGCACGAGAGAAATGCTTTGATATGGCCAAACATATCCAGCTCTTAACATGGAAAGAGACACATAAGATGGAACTGACAGACATGAGCTTTTCTACTGGAGTTCCTATGCAAATTTGCATGCCGTATCTGTTTCTTATACGGAATAACCATTCATATGAAAAAGAAAAATCTCAGAACCACATGCTTAGTGGAGACACTTTCTTGGAAAATTGATTCATAGTCTTTTCAAATAATGTTACACCATTCTCCTTTCTGTTGACGTATCTGATTCTCATACTACATAACCGCATTGCGAAATGAAATTTGTATTACCTACATATTAAACGGAACTTTATTATGTTATGGAAAAACCATGCAAAGGGGTTGTGAGAGAGTCAACTCATTCTACTATAAAATAAGGATGCAATTTTCAGATGCATTTTTCAGATTTTGTCATACAAAAAGTTATGAAATAAAGGAATCACATACAAAAAGCTAAAATTGCGAAACTGCCGCAACAAGGGAAACCTTTTGCTACTTTATTATGTCATAAATTGTTAGTATGCGAATTCTAAACTCTTTCCACATCTTTACTATTCATATGTGAAGAACATCATCACTTTTGTGTGTCTTTCTGCAGCCTTTTTAATTCTGAGGTTAAATTAGTTTAATGTTTTAAAAGTACTTTGATGCTGAATAGAGTAAAATTTTAAAGTAGTTTTGAGGAGGATCTTTTTATCAAGATCATATGTTTCCAGTGAAAATATAGATTAAAAGCGTATGTAAGTGAAATGATCAAGTCTATTTGAAAATCTACTCCAGAAACTAAGATCAAATTAGAATAAATATAAGATTCAATAGATAAATAAGCATAAAGTAAGCAGAAGAAAAGCCCCAAAACTGTTAAAAATTAAACTTTAGCACAAAATATCAACTACCCATTTCGTGAAATAGCGAAAAATTGAGATGGGTATTTATATTATGCTCATTAATGATATTTACATGTTTACATCGTCATTTTCGGGAAAAAAAATTGAGAAAGAGGGATTACGCAGTAATTTCTTGATCTGACGACGGGGAATTGTTCGAGAACGCGTCGAAATTCGTGCTTTTCCATTGACGAAGGCGGGTGAGTTCACTTTTGTGAGGAGAAGTAGAAAGATGGGTGTTTTTTTTTTCTTTTTTTCCTTACAAATTTTTTCTACCTGACGATTTTTTCAGCGGCCTCCTGCTCTCAACGGAGGATACGGCGGAGTTTGTTGCATTTTTTGCATTTAGATCCTCTTCTTTTATGTGTTTGCAAACTTTTCCCTAAAATATTGGATTCAACATTAATAATTGGAATAAAAATGATTCACTAGTAAATTTTAGTTACCTTTCACTAAAAGTAAAGATAAGGGTAAAATAAAAAAAATCCGTAGATAATTAGATCTTATCATTACTCATTACATGATTAATTATTTTGAGTTAGGGCATGTTTGACAAACATAAAGCAAATGAAAGTAGAAAGTAAAGAAAAAGTATATTTTAAAGCAAATGAAAGTAGAAAGTAAAGAAAAAGTATCTTTTAAAAAAAATATTTTTTTTTTTACTTTTTATTTTCGAAAATCTTGTTTGGATAATAGAAAATAGAAATGTAGAAAGTTGATATGATGCTGACAAATATTTTTTTTTTTAAAAAGTTTATGTTATGATGTAAAATTCACTTTGATATTAATATGGGCTTTTTATTTCTAGGCCCAAATGATTACCCATCTTTACCTACAAACCCATTTACTATTTGATGTATCCATAAACCCAAAGATCTTTGGGTATTTATCTTTAAGCCCAACTTTGGAAATACAGTAAATGTAGACATATGTATTTATACAAAAGCATAGTAAAATTCCCATAATATCCTTTCAACAACCCCCAAATGTAACCCGTTCCTCTCTCTTCCTCATTTCCCTCATTTCATCTCTCAGCCCTAATCGAAAAACCTCCGTCCCCCTTCTCGTCGTCGTAATCTCGTTGTCGCCTACGCCGACGCCGTCTCTCTCTCTCCATTAAACCGTCGTTGTAAGCTCGCCGTCGCAGTCCCCGTGGCCCTTCGCCGTCGATAAGACCACGCCGTGAGCTCGCTGTCCCCTTGATCTCGACCTCGCCGCCGCCTTGATCTCGACCTCGCCGTCGCCTTATCTCGACCTCGCCGTCGCAGTGACCACGCCGTTAGCTCGTCATAGTCTTGATCTCGGCCCTATATATAATTCAAGTATCCGAGACCCAGAACTCTTCAGGATGGCCTTCAAGCGGATGAAACTTATGGATCCCATCGATGAAAGCAAATCAAAGGTCTCATCTTTTTCCTCTCTCTCAAATTTTGTTGCTTTTCTCTCAATTCCTCGTTTTCTCTGCAGCATCTAGGGTTTCCCTCAATTTAAGGGGATCACTTTCTGTGTATTTGGTTGGGGATAAGCTCGTTGTTGAATTATTGAGCAGTAGGGTTTGGTTTATTTTTGACCCAATAGAACACAATAAGAAAAATCAATTTTTTGATTATTCAGTGTCGAAAAAATTCAATCTTTTCTGATCCACGTCATGCAAATATAACAAGTATATCGAGAATTGTTAAACTCATTGAGGATAGGCATTGGACTGTTTTTTGCTGTTAATTGCAAGTTAGTGACTTTGAGCTCCATTTGAATGTTTTCAGGCCCAGCATGCAGCTGTTGCAGAAGAACTTGGGAGGGAAATACGCGTGTTTAAAAGCCCATCGGTTTCCATATCACCGGAGTCTTCTGCTTCCAGTAATGGTATCCACCTCTTTTATTGATAATATACTGTAGTTGTATTTTTCTTGTGAAGTTTGCATATTCTGATTTTTGAAACTTCGGCCAACCAATTTCAATAGATCAAAAGGATTGTGCGAGACATAGAGCTCGTATCCGGCCAACCAATTTCAATAGATCAAAAGGATTGTGCGAGACATAGAGCTCGTATCGTAGCTCTATTTCTATCTGAAGGTATATTTTCCATAAGTGTAATATGTGTAATGTATGTGGTTATACTTTTACATTTCGTCTACTATTCTTTTAATCCGTGTATCGGTTGATTTCAGGATATAAGCAATCACCACAAGCTCACTTCCCTAGATTGGTGTGCTGTTGAACGGGAAAACATAAGAATTTGATCCTTCGAAGATTGGTGTGCTGTTGAACGGGAAAACTGAATTAGTTGTGACTGAATATGTGCATATGAAATTGTTCTGTGATATGTGTATGTGACTGTGAATATGTGCATATGACTGTGACTGTGAATATGTGAATATGCGCAAAAACTGAATTAGTTGTGACTGTGAATATGTGCATCTGAAATTGTTCTGTGATATGTGTATGTGACTGTGAATATGTGCATATGACTGTGACTGTGAATATGTGAATATGCGCAAAAACTGAATTAGTTGTGACTGTGAATATGTGCATATGACTGTGAATATGTGTATGTTTTGTATCATTTCTCAGCTTTTGACTGTGAATGTATCTCAAATTGTGACTGTGAATGTGAATGTGAATGTGAATGTATCTCAAATTAGCTGTGACTGTGAATGTATATAAGTGTAGAGGAAGTTTTCTAACGTATCTATGATTGTGATTGTAAGTGTAGCGTGTTATCTGTAAATGTAGCGGGTTATCTGTAAGTGTAGCGTGTTACACTGCAAGTGTAACGGGTTATTTGTAAGTGTAGCGGGTTATCCTGTAAGTGTAGCGTGTTACAGTGCAAATATAGCGGGTTATCCTGTAAGTGTAGCGGGTTAGACTTTAAGTGTAGCGGGTTAGACTGTAAGTGTAGCGTGTTATGTTGTAAGTGTAGCGTGTTAGACCGTAAGTGTAGCGGGTTATGCTGTAAGTGTAGCGGGTTAGACTGTAAGTGTAGCGGGTTAGACTGTAAGTGTAGCGTGTTATGCTGTAAGTATAGCGGGTTAGACCGTAAGTGTAGCGGGTTATGCTGTAAGTGTAGCGGGTTAGACCGTAAGTGTAGCGGGTTATCCAGTAAGTGTAGCGGGTTATCCTGTAAGTGTGGCGGGTTAGACTGTAAGTGTAGCGGGTTATCTTGTAAGTGTAGTGGATTATCTTGTAAGTGTAGCGTGTTATGCTGTAAGTGTAGCGGGTTAGAGTAGTGTAGCGGGTTGTATTGTAAGTGTCACGGGTTAGGCTGTAAGTGTATCGGGTTATCCTGTAAGTGTGCGGGTTATGCTGTAAGTATAGCGGGTTAGACTGTAAGTGTAGCGGGTTAGTCTGTAAGTGTAGCGGGTTATCATGTAAGTGTAGCGTGTTATGCTGTAAGTGTAGCGGGTTATCCTGTAAGTATAGCGGGTTATCCTGTAAGTGTAGCGTATTATGCTGTAAGTGTAGCGGGTTATATTGTAAGTGTAGCGTGTTATGTTGTAAGTGTAGCGGGTTATCCTGTAAGTATAGCGTATTATGTTGTAAGTGTAGCGGGTTATATTGTAAGTGTAGCGGGTTATCCTGTAAGTGTAGCGGGTTAGAATGTAAGTATAGCGGGTTAGACTGTAAGTGTAGCGTGTTATGTTGTAAGTGTAGCAGATTATATTGTAAGTGTCGCGGGTTAGGCTGTAAGTGTATCGGGTTATCCTGTAAGTGTGCGGGTTATGCTGTAAGTATAGCGGGTTAGACTGTAAGTGTAGCGGGTTAGTCTGTAAGTGTAGCGGGTTATCCTGTAAGTGTAGCGTGTTATGCTGTAAGTGTAGCGGGTTATCCTGTAAGTGTAGCGGGTTATCCGGTAAGTGTAGCGTATTATGTTGTAAGTGTAGCGGGTTATATTGTAAGTGTAGCGGGTTATCCTGTAAGTGTAGCGTGTTATGTTTATGTTGTAAGTGTAGCGGGTTATATTGTAAGTGTAGCGGGTTATCCTGTAAGTGTAGCGTGTTATGTTATAAGTGTAGCGGGTTATCCTGTAAGTATAGCGTATTATGTTGTAAGTGTAGCGGGTTATATTGTAAGTGTAACGGGTTATCCTGTAAGTGTAGCGGGTTAGAATGTAAGTGTAGCGGGTTAGACTGTAAGTGTAGCGTGTTATGTTGTAAGTGTAGCGGGTTATCCTATAAGTATAGCGTATTATGTTGTAAGTGTAGCGGGTTATATTGTAAGTGTAGCGGGTTATCCTGTAAGTGTAGCGTGTTATGTTTGTAAGTATAGCGGGTTAGAGTGTAAGTGTAGCGGGTTATATTGTAAGTGTAGCGGGTTAGGCTGTAAGTGTATCGGGTTATCCTGTAAGTGTAGCGTGTTATGCTGTAAGTGTAGCGGGTTAGAGTATAAGTGTAGCGGGTTATAGTGTAAGTGTCGTGGGTTAGGCTGTAAGTGTATCGGGTTATCCTGTAAGTGTAGCGTGTTATGCTGTAAGTGTAGCGGGTTATCCTGTAAGTGTAGCGGGTTATCCTATAAGTGTAGCGGGTTATCCTGTAAGTGTAGCGAGTTACAGTCTAACCCGCTACACTTACAATATAACCCGCTACACTTACAGCATAACCCGCTACACCTACAGTCTAACCCGCTACACTTACAATATAACCCGCTACACTTACAGCATAACCCGCTACACCTACTAACCCGCTACACTTACAGTCTAACCCGCTACACTTACAGTCTAACCCGCTACACTTACAATATAACCCGCTACACTTACAGCATAAGACGCTACACTTACAATATAACCTGCTACACTTACATCATAACACGCTACACTTACAGTCTAACCCGCTACACTTACATTCTAACCCGCTACACTTACAGGATAACCCGTTACACTTACAATATAACCCGCTACACTTACAACATAATACGCTATACTTATAGGATAACCCGCTACACTTACAACATAACACGCTACACTTACAGGATAACCCGCTACACTTACAATATAACCCGCTACACTTACAACATAATACGCTACACTTACCGGATAACCCGCTACACTTACAGGATAACCCGCTACACTTACAGCATAACACGCTACACTTACAGGATAACCCGCTACACTTACAGACTAACCCGCTACACTTACAGTCTAACCCGCTATACTTACAGCATAACCCGCACACTTACAGGATAACCCGATACACTTACAGCCTAACCCGCTACACTTACAATATAACCCGCTACACTTACAACATAATACGCTATACTTACAGGATAACCCGCTACACTTACAGGATAACCCGCTATACTTACAATATAACCCGCTA